AATGAGTGGGTTGACAAGATGGAGTTGTATGGTTCAACGACGGCTGTTGAAACTTATGGTGATGGATAGATGGTGAAACCCAATTTAGATTTCTTACCATAATCGACTGACAATCTTTCCAATAAAAGTGATCCTAATCCTGATCCTGTTCCTCCTCCGACTGAGTGGAAGACCAAGAAACCTTAGAGACCTGTGCAGTTATCAGCTAACTTTCTGATTCTGTCTAAGCACAAATCGACAATTTCCTTTCCGATGGTGTAGTGACCTCTGGCGAAGTTGTTGGCAGCATCTTCTTTTCCTGAAATCAATTATTCTGGGTGGAATAATTATCTGTATGTTCCTGTTCTGACTTCATCAATAACTGTTGGTTCCAAATCCAAAAAGACAGCTCTTGGGACGTGCTTTCCTGCACCAGTTTCAGAGAAAAAGGTGTTGAAGGCATCATCTCCTCCTCCGATTGTCTTGTCTGATGGCATTTAACCATCTGGTTGGATTCCGTGTTCAAGACAGAATAATTCCCAACAGGCATTACCAACTTAAATACCTCCTTGTCCGACGTGAATAGATATGACTTCTCTCATTTTTAAAGTGCTATGTGATGAAAACTCTCTAAAAAAATTATTTGAATTTCAGCAGTTACCCAAAATTTGAATATCCAAAATATCCAAGTACCGGGGTCCATAAAATTTGAATTATTTTCTTTTATAAATTAATACAATTAATATAAGCATGATGAATTATGAGCAATTAAGAAACTTGCAAAATTACTATAATTGAAATAAAAATAAAATAGTATAGTATTTTATATGAAAGGAATAGATTAATGGTATAGTTTTAAGATTTAATTTTGATTACTCCCAATTAATAGAGTAATATGAATATATTAATAATCTCATCTCAGTATATTCATGCAAAATCGTTTATTATTGAAAATATTTTTAGATTAATTTATAATAACTCTGATTCAATTTATAATTTTTTAATGGATAAGAACATTTCTCTAAAAGTTAAAAACTTCTAAACAGTGAATTGGTTGAAAAATAGATTTAGAAATAAAGTGAAAGATAAATATATTTTAAATGAGAAGGAGTTAAAAGAATAAGTAATGATGAAAGCTGTCTTTAAATCAATTGATAGAGATAATTCAAGTTTTTATATTTGCTAAATTTTATATTAGAATTTCTAGATAGACAAGAACTGTTTGACATGTTCAAACGGTATGGAATAAACATTACAAAAACTAAATTACGTGAATTTTTTAAGAGAATAGATTAAGATGAAGATGGTAATTGACATTATTTATTTGTTAGATAAACTTAATTGGAACGATTTTCGATAAGCTTTATAAAACTAAGAAGCTTTATAGAGTAATTTCTCAAATATATGAAGTGTTCGTTGAGCTCATGCGTAAAATAAGGGAGACAACTGAGAAGATAAGTAAACCAAATGAGTTTAAATTTGTGCCTTTAAGCTTTCCTAATATGATTTAATACATGAATTATTGTGTATTGAGAGAAGAACTCATTCAAAAAATTAAATCAGAACAATTATCAAATTAACAAAAGGTTAAGTAGTGTACAAATCTTTTGTCTTTGGAAGATATCTGCTATAAGAAAGTTCTAGATATAAGAGAAGAAGAGGAAGAATAACAAGAAGATGATCCATTTAAGAAATTTATGAATAAAAATAATGATCCTCAATAATTAGCAATTTTAAAGAGATTACAAGAAAAGGAATAAATGATGTAACGTTTAGTAAATTCTAATATTATATAATAGAATAGGATTAGAAAATTAAGTTCTTCTTAATATTACAAGACAGACACAGATTAAACTAATAGATCTATTCGAAAGAGTTATTAAACATCTAAATAAGAAACAACTAAAATACATTAATCTGAATTTAAATTAATAGATTAATTTGTAAATGATAATTAATCTTAATTACCATTAAAAATTACTGAAAATAACAATAATTTAAATATATAATAGGCACTTTAGATAACAGAACGATTAAATTTAAATGAAACCTATTCTCCTTATAAATATTAAGTTAATCACTTAAAATAATTATCATGTACTACTAGTACAAAGAGAAGTTAACATTTTACAAATTAATATCTTATTGTAAATATATTATTTAATTTAAGAATTCTAAATCCCCTTTTTTAACCTCTCAGAAATCAAAGTTTCGCTCTCCTTAAAGGATTAGAGTCATATCATAGATTGATTTTAAAAGAAGTGATTCAAAGAATAAATTTTGATTGTTTATTATTTCAGTAAATTAATGAATTTTTATCTACATTAATAAAATAGATAAATTAATAAGATATGAAATATTCTTTATATATATATTGCAAATAATCAATCTAATTCTGCCATTTCTTTTGAAAGCTCCTTATAATGTTTAAGGGTTGTCTTTAATTTAAGGTTTTGTTTTTCTAATTCTACAATTTATGCTTTTAATTTTCTTATTAATTCTTCATAATCAATCATAGATTATTTCTAGGTATCAATTATTTAAATTAATTTAACATTCTCACCTTCTTTAGTTTTTACTTCAGTTATTAACAAAGTAATTCTTTCTTCTAATTATATGATTAAGACTTTCTGTTCTCCATTATGATGATTTAATTCTTATTCTCTTTTTTATAATTATACAAGTTCTTATTCCAAATTATTTTTCTTATTTTCTAATTCATTTAGTTTTTCTATGTTAGCTGTTAATTAAATAGTTAGAGATTAATTTTTGGCAATATGTTCAGCTCTATCTGATTCTAATTAAGCTATTTTAGCCATTAATTCAGTAATTTCAATTTTTTATTATTCACTCAAAGATTTGAATTCTAACATTTTTTTTTCATGTGTTATGATTATTAATTCTAATTCTTAAATTTTGGTTAAATGTATTTAAATTGTAATTTAATGTGTTTCCTCTATTTTTTTTAATTGATGGCTAAGTTCATCAATAATTCTATTTTTCTCTTAAACTTAAGTAGAATTATTTCTTTCTTATTCAAATAAAATTTGACTTTATCTATGTTATTCTTATAATATATTATGATCATTAGTCAATTAAGCAAATTTTTATTTTAATAAATCTAATTCATTTATAGTTATATTATGTGTTTCTCTTAATGTAGTATGATCTTAATTTAGAATTATCCATTTAGCCTTATAATCATCTAATTCAATTATTATTAATCTATGTTGATCTGTTAATAATTAATGTTCATTTATTAGCTATTACAATTATTCTTTATTTTTTGATGCTTCATTTTAAGTTTATAATTATCTATCATTATTTGTTTATAATTCTTATTATATCTTATGTAATTAAGTTTCATTTTCTTCTAATTATCTTTATAGATTTGAAATTCTATCTTTCATTAATATATCAGCTTCTTTTAATGCAACTATTATCAAATCTCTTTCTGATAATTGTTTATAATGCTCAGATATTTCTTTATCTTTTTCAATAATAATTTATTGTAATTTCTAATTTATTGATAATGCTTCACTTAATTATTCTGAAATAGAATTATATGAAATATGTAAATCAGCCAATTATTTTTATATAGGTTAGAGAATTTAAGAATGTTATTAATCCTTTTAACTTAATTCTTCAGCTAAATTAAATTTCTCTTTTTTAACAGCCTCTAATTCTGAACAACGTAAATCATATCTTTATTATAGTAATTATAATTATTCTGTTTATTAAATAATTACTAACTCATGATTTTATAATTTCTTTTTGATATCTATATTTTCTAATTAAAATTTTTCATTCTCTCTTTTAGCAGCTTCTGCATGTATTAATCTTACTTCCAAATTTCCAATAATTCTTAGTTTATCTTAATTCAATTATTATAATGCTATATATTCTTTATTTAATTGATTAACTTACAATTCTAATTAAAATATCTTTTATCTATCTTCATCCAATAGTTAAGTTAATTCTTACTCTGTTTATTTTGATTATAAAGATATATTAATTTAATAATTCTTTTCAACTTAAGAAGCTGTCATAGAATTATCAGATTATTAATTAGACAACTATTAAAGATCAGCAATTTATTATTAAAGTTCTTTGTTTTATAAAATTTAAGCATTTAATTATGCATATATTTCTGAATTTGATTTTTGTAAATTATTTATAATATTTTAATTATCTTCTTAAATTTTATCAGAATATTTCTTTTACTCTTATAAACTTTATATTTCTAAATCCTATAAAGATATTTTCTTCCTTAATTAATCATTAGCCTCTAATAATTATTAATCTACATCTTAATTAATTATTTATAATGGTTAATTTTATAGTTCTTTTACTTATAATTATAATTCTGTGACTAATTTATGTTTTGTCATTAATAATTCTTCAATTTGTAATATGTATTTTTTTAAAGTTTCTTTTTCTTCATCAACTTATGGTTACTAAGATATTTAAACAGTCTTTCTTCTTAAATTCTAAAACTCATTAGATTAAGTAACTGAATATTCAAGCATATCATCATCTTATTCATTTCTTTATTATATATTTTCATCTTTTTTAAATTCAATCTTAATTTAATGAGTTTCTTTATTCTTTTCTAAAGGTCTAGAAACTATTACACTTTATGTCATTCCTTATTAATGAGATAAAAATATTATTAATTTAGTTTAAACATAGTTTTTCTCAATCATTCCAGTTGAAACCCCTTTCATAATTTATCCTTCAATTTCTTCAAATTATTAATTGAATTATTTTATTTCATCAAAAGATACATAAAATGATGATGCCAAACACTTTAAATAATTGTCATAACCTAAAGTTGGACTCAAAAGAACTTGATTAAAAAAGAAAAAACTTGTCTGTAAAAGAAAGAAGTTAATACCAAAAGGTTATATATATCTTGATATTCTGTTTCTTAAAAATGGTTTAACAAGAGTCACTTCACTTTGTTTAAGTTTAAATGCCTACTCTAAAACCTAAGATACTTTTTCTGTTTCATTAAGGTAATCATAAGGAGTCTTTTTTAATTAAGATGGATAAGTATTAAATGGAATAATATTAGAATAAAGTACAGTTAATAATGCATATGCTGATGCTTCAGTGGAGAAACACAGTAAAAATAGAGTAATTAATATTTAATCTGAACTGTACCCGATTTCTGGATATTGAAGTAAAAGTGAACCCAATACTTTACTGATTTTCTATGTTAATAATTCATGTTCATTATCTTTAATTAAATATGTGATGAATTCTCTTAAAGAAAAGTTAAGATTCAACCATAATTCAATCATGACTGAATTCAATTCTGACTTCATTTTTTAATAATCACTATTTTCTTTTAATGAGTTTTATGCTTTTTCATATTCCTGTGTAATTAATATATCTTTACTTAATTAGCATGCTCTAAAGTAATATTTGATGCCTTAAGCCATTCGACAGCAAAAGTATTAGTTCCAAAAACAATTTTTTATTATTCAATAAATCTTTTGATCCAATCACTTTCATCTTTACAAGAATTACAAATTCTTCTAGGTCTTTTACTTGGACCTGTTTCTGTTATATAGATAATCTTATGTTCTGAACATTGTTTACAAACAGCACGACGACATCTAAATTATCATGAATCATCAAACCTTTTGCACTAATGCTCAGGTTTCAACAACCCAAATTCCTTTTAACACAACTAACATCTTTTGAATTTTCCTCTACCTTCAGAGATCAGAACTGTCTTTATATGTGCTTGGGTTAATGATTTTCTTTGAGACATTATTAAAGATTTTAATTTAGATAAAGTTTAACATATGAAATCTCAATTTAAATTTTTCTGAGGAATTTGATTGATTATTGTAATTCTGTATATAATCATTTAATAATGTAGAATAATCATTTCTTTAATACTCATTTGAAAAATATTAGAAAGAAATATGTATTCTTTTTATATTTTTTTTATTAGAAAACTTATATAAAAATAATTAATACATTTTTAAATCTTTAATTTAAAATGGTCAAGATGAACGTTCTAAATGATTGCCTTCGTTCAATTGTGAATGCTGAAAGGTATACTTTATTGTTTTATTCTAAAAGATAAGGAAGAAAATAAGTATTAATCAGACCAACATCCAAATTAGTTGTCAAATTCTTATAAGTCATGTAAAGACATGGATATATTGGAGAATTTGAAATTGTCGATGATCATAGAAGTGGCAAAATTGTTGTTGAACTATTGGGTACTAATTCTAACCTATTAAAGGTCGCATTAATAAATGTGGAGTCATTTCACCTCGTTATGATGTTACTCTAGGTGAATTTGAGAGATGGGCTAACAATATTTTACCAGCCAGACAATTTGGATGCGTTGTCTTAACTACTAATGTTGGCATTCTTACTCATGAAGAAGCTAGATAAAGACACATTGGAGGTAAAATCCTTGGTTTCTTTTATTGAGTTCAATACAAAGTACATTCATACACATACAATATAAATAACTAAATTATCATTATATTTATTTTAACAAAATTGTAAAATCGATTTTCATATTTTATATATCGAATAAGTTTAATAATCACTTTAATTGTCCATTATTTGTACCTGTTACTCTGGATGAACCACTCTTGACTTTTTTCTTGAATAATTTTTCCTCTTCATCCAATTTTTCATCATCTACTCCTTAAGCATAAACCATTTAATCCATGTCTGCCATCTCCATTATATCATTGACTTTCTCTTTAAAATATTGATGCTAATAATATAATGTACTTGTTAATTGTTAATCTTAATAACTCTCCCAATAAGCAGTACTCTTTCTTTCTAAACAACTATCCTTTCTAACTTTATATACAATATCATTCCCTTCAATTTGCATCAATGAAAAAGGAAGTATACTTTTTGAATTGACTTATTGCTGAGGATTCTAAATCTTATAAATTGGAAAAGAATCTGATAACACTTAATCAAAAGTTAATTGATATTTTCTTGCTTCTAAGTACAAAGTTGCTAAAAATCTGGCTACACTTTCCATTTTCTCATCTGGAGGTTCTTAAGGAATCACAGGGATTTATGGCAATTAGGGTTATAAAGGTTATGGGATTATTGTGGGTGCAATAACAGGTGGTTTTTCTTCGAATTTTAATTTTTCTACAATTAATTCTTCAATTTATTTTTCAAATTTAAGAATCTAATCTTCTTTTTTTAATTTTTCTTTTTTTTATTATTCATTTAATTCTCTCCATTAAAGAATTTCTTTTGAAATATTATCAAACATTTCATCAGCTCTTTCTACAATATTAATTGAACATTTATCTAAACATTCCCTAACAAAACAATCTTTAGGCCATAATCTAATTTCTGCATTATTATCCTTTTCTTTTTTGGATGAATCAAAGAATTCTTTAATGAATTTGCAAAAATTTAATCTTCTTTCAATTTCCATAGCTTTTTCTCTCTAAATACTTTAATCTATGATATTTGAAACAAGCAAAAGATCTTTTTTTAGCAATACTATCTTTTAACCCAAATTTTCCATTTCATTTACTCCTCTTGTGTTTTAGGCATTACCTCTCCTTAATTTCATAGTTCTATCCATAGGTTATGTTCTAGGACGAAAAGCCAAATGAGGATTACTATCCTCATAATATGGATGCATTAGGAATCTTGTAAGTGAACGAGAGAAGTGTTATCTCTGTTTCTTAAAATAGGTATATAGCTATTCTTAGAGGGCAATAGTTTATTGATTTATTGTTTTTGGTAAATTGGGTTTCAATTTTAGAAATTCACTAAAATCTATTTCAACATCTTTGCCACTCTTAGCATCAAGAAGTGCAAGATATATTTCAAAGTCATCTATAGTAATAGGAGTTTGTAGCTTTTCATTGATGGTTGAAAGAAAATGAACATCTTCGTCAGTTAATTCATAAGTAGTAGCATCTGGATATACAGGTGCCTTATATACAATGTAATCTTCACGACATCTTGATGGAAGTTGGGATTTGAGTGAGGGCTCTTCAAATTATTTAGGTCTAAATAATAATGAGTATAATATAAAAATAAATAAGGCAGGTATAGAGGAGCAAGGAAGAGAATTCACATTTAAGAAAGGTGAATTCTGTTTCCTTGAAGTCCTCTTTTAGTAATTAAATAGATATATGTAATTTTACTTCTCTTTTATGAGCTAATCAGGAGTAATGATTTATTCTGTGTTTTTAATATCTGCTTCTTGTCCTTCAGCATTGTTGAATCCTTCCAAAGTGCTTACAGTAAGCACTGGCTTTGATGCATCTATCTGTCTTGGTCTTTATTTCATTTTCTGAGCTGCTACCAATCGATTAATAATTAAAGAAACTTGAATAATATGGGAAGATACTATCCCATGCAATAGAAAAACAATACAAAATCAAACAAATAACACAAGAAAAACACTTCTTTATAATATTTCTGGTTCTCTAATCTCTTCTTCTTTATTCATACATCTTGTCAATCAAACTCTAAGACTTGAATACTCTTGTGTTCTTTATTACTCTCTTTCATTCTCTTTAATGCTTATTCAATATTTTCTGAATGTTTTCATTATAATTATTAATGAACTAAATTGGAATTGTTGATAAATTAGATGATTCCTTCAAAAAATTTAACTCCCGCATTCTTGAAGTTGATTAAGGTCGCATCAAATATTATTCTAAACCACCACCAGATTTTCAATCTGAAAATCCAAAACTAAATGATAAACCTAAAGCTGGGTTAAATTTAAATCATATTGTATATTAGAATACTCTTCAGCAGTATAGTAGATATAATTGAAGCAGACCCTAGAATTAGTAATGATCTCTAACCTAGAGTGATAGCCTTCACTTTTTATTCTAATCAATTACTTAAAGGGAATGAACTAAATAAACCAGAACCTACTCTTCCAAAACCTAAACCACCATTATAAACTTGGATATTTCTATTCAGAGACATAGAATCCAGGGAAAGATGGTGTGAGATATTTGCTATGAATTTGTAAAGACAAGAAGCACCAACTGCTTCTGTAAAGTAATTTGTAGAAAATCAATTGAAATAATTAGAAAAATTAAGGTACTCTATTTTTTTTATTTTTTTTTTAAGTCCTGATTAGATTAAAGAACAAAATCCAATAGAAAGTGTTGATGAAGAAGAGAAACTCAAAAATGAGGCAAAAGTTCGATCTGGAAAAGTTAAATAATTTAGAACAAATTTGAAATTATAAGAAATTGATAGGAAAAATAAAGAAGAAGAAATAAATAGATAAAGAAAATAATAATTTGAAGAAGAATAAAAAAGAGTCAATCTATAAAGAGAAGAGGAAGAGAAAAAGAGAAGAGAAGAAGAATAACGAAATTTAAGAAGAGAATAAGAAAGATAAATGAAGTTGAGAATATCAACAGCTTGGGAATTTAGATATTATTAAGCATTAGAGGATTGTATTGAATCATGTGATAATTTTGATAACAGTATGAAAGCTGGTCTAAGATTAATTAAATATTTAGAGACTTTTAAAGAATAAGCTTTTATTACAGTAAAATAACTTATTTGTGAACTTTTGGATAAAAAAATTACAGTTGTAAATTAAAATTAGAGTGTTAATTTAATTGAAGAAGACAATTTAAAAAAAGTATTGCTTTTTATTTAATAATTTTAAGACTATATTCTCTAAACCTAAAAAGAAATAATAAAATAATGAAGAAAATAATTATGTTGGTTAATTTCAAGATTGTTTTTATGGTACTTTTTAATTTAAAAGTAATAATATGCTTATATATATTGCAACATCTGAAACTGTTGAAAGAACCCTTTTAATACCTAATAAATCAGTAATGATTTAAAGTCTTAATCTAAATTTATTAGAATTACCTTTTTGGTATGGAATTGTACATTCAAATTGTAAAAAACGATAATTGTCAGATGAATTTAAAGCTTTAAATTATTTGAATGATATTTGTTTCTCACAAAGATCTGTTAATAAATATTTTAAACTCAAAGTTCCATTATCATGTTAAATTGAATATTTAGGATTTAAAGCTTTAGTCTTAGCATGTCCTCCATCTCCTCTTGATGATTCTTCTCTTATTTATGGTGTACCAAATGGTGAAAGTTATTACAAAGCATCATAAAAACTAGAATTAGAAATTGAAGCTTTAGGTAGAAGTTTAGCAATCAAACCTCATTGTTTTATGTGGAAAATAGAAAGATTTGATCCAAAAAAAATATAATTGGATACAAAAAGATCTGTAATCTAATTATCTGTTAATACTTAAATACATAGTGGTAATATTGCTGAATTTGAATAATTAAAAGCTTAGATTAAAATATATGCAGATTAGGAATCTGAATAAGAAGTTAAACGATAAGGTTTATTTTATTTACTTAAAGTGAAGGAAATACTACCTTATATTATTGAAGAACATTATTCAGAATTAGTTGAACAATCTAATAAGACAATTCCTGCAAATCATAATTTTGATCATTTACTTTAAAATTATGAATTTAGAAGAGCAAGACCAGAATTTTTATCTGTATATTATGATACAGGAGTAAGTGGTTAATTAAGAGCATAATAAAGTAACATTCAAAACAGAAAAGTTTATAATCCTGATGCTTATGATACTATTGAAGAATCAAATGATATATCAATTGATTAAATGGCATTAGCAGAAATGAGTAAAAATTTCATTAGAGGTTATATTCAAGAATTTGTTAATAAAATTGATTAATTAGAAATATGTCCTATAGATAGTTATACTCTAAGAGAAAGTTTTAGACTTTTTGGTATAAATATGAGATTCCTTAATTTAGTAGCATTATAAACTAAGTATTAATTTTTTATCAAATATTAGAATTCCCCATGTTCAATAATTATGTGAAGTAGAAATGATGGCTAGATCAATTAAGAATATATTTAATTAATAATTTACAGAGTTTTTGTAAACTATAACAGAGGATTAGATTCCATATAAACCATTTGATCCTAAAAAAATAATTAGAGAACCATTTTCTGATTAAGAAGAAATGGAAACAAAGAGAAATTTTCCTAAAAAATAATCCATTATGTTACCACGTACTATTATTTAAGAAAGAGAAACTATGTCAGATTTCATAGAAATGTAATATAAAGAATAATTAGCAGATTTATTAAATTTATTATTTTCAAAGAGTAATATTTTTTATGAATAAATTCTATTTAAATAAGTATTATTTGATTTTAATTATGACTTGAATTTAAAATTAAAAGGAATTTGTTCAGGTAGTTTATTAAGTGCTTTATAATATAATTTAAAATTTGAATCAAAATTTGAACCTAAAGATATTATTTTTGGAACTCCATATGCATAAGTAGATGAAAGTGTTATAAATAAATTTAATTTGAAATAGTATTTACATTAAAAAACATACTAGCAATTATATAAAACATCAATGATTCCAGCATCATCATAAATGACTCCATTAACAACTCCTCCAACTAAAGGAGCTCATTCAATTAAGTAAATTAATAAATAGGTATTTTTTGATGCCTCTTCTATAACTTAATTAAGATTCGATGTTCAAAGTTTTTCTATGTTAGAAGTTGAGATCTGTAAATTGGTGAATAAATTTAATATCTTCAAACTATAGTAAAATTACCAATTGGCAATTAAAGTTCTTCATATGTAAATTAAATTTTGACAAATCAGACGCCTAAACCTTCTTGAAGGACTTGAACATTCCAGTAACATAGCTTAGGCCAAAACCATAGTATTGACAGACCTAGCAGAATTACATTTTAAATAGAAACAGTATTAACAAACAATGGTTAGATTAGCTGAGGCATTGAAATATTTGAATCCAAATATTTATTTAGATAGTGAGAATCTTCTTAATTAACTTTCCAATATGAATTAGAGATGGATTCCAAAGGTGGGAATGATTCGTCCATTAATGTTATTATTAGAAATAGTAACTGAATTATATTAGGATTATGTATTCATAGTATTTGATTTGTTGATATTTAATTTGGAATTTTGTTTAGGTTCTTAACATCATTATTATGCTAAAGTATTTAATATTATGGGTACATTTTTTAAGAATAGAGGTTAAATAGAGGATATGCTTTAGATGAATACAATGTAGATAATTTGTCTTATTAAAACTATTGGTCATTAACATTAATTAACTGCTGATGCATATATTGAAATTGGAGAATAAAAATAAAGTCCTGAATAATAAATACTCTTTTATGAAAAAGCATTTTATATTTTTGAAACTCTTTATACAGACAATAGTCTTTAGACAGCTTATGTAGCTTGTAAATTAACTAAAGGTTATACTGATTGTGGTAAAATTAATGAAGCTTTGAAGATAAGTCAATTAGCTTGTAAAATTTTAAAAACTAAAGCATAAGATAATTTAGCTTATCTTTTAGAATTAAGTTATTATAGAGCTTATAATTTTTATAAGAATTCTTAAAAAGAATAGGCTAGAAAAGAATGTGAAGAGTATTTTAATGTTTTACAATTATATTGGGATTAAATATAAGCATATGATTAATAAGATTAAAGTCATTCAGATATAATCAATAATAATAAAGATTTACAGTCATTTCCAATTTAATTGATTGAAATGACTCGCAAAACTTTAATAACTTTTGTTGAGATATTTTTAGCAGAAGCTTCAAAAGAACATAGAAATTTTTTATATTAGATGTTTGATTTGATTATAGAGAATCATGCAAGATCTAATTTATTAGAATAATTTGATTCTTAGTTTAATGTTTAATTCATTCATGTATTAAAGAAAATTAAAACATTGGGTAGTTTATAAGCTTATTTTGAATGGTCATTAATATAATTTGTAGATAAAACAGGAGGTGATACTAATTGGTTAACATTTAATTTTAAAGTTTAAAATTATGAATAGTTAAAAGAACCATATGAAAATTATGAATGTATAGTTGTAACAATAGGTAGAAAGATATTAAGTTAGATTTTTGAAAAGATTATGATAAATAATCCATGAGTAGTAGAATATGTTTTAAATTTTAATTTATAATTATTTAAATCAAATCTTAAGATATATATATATATTTTATTAATAATATTTGATTAATAAATATCTCATAATTAAAAGAAATATTGATCAAATAAGGAGATATTAAAGAATAAATTAAGATTATGAATAGTTCTGAATAGAATTAGAATGAGAATCATAATAAGATGTAGTAATGATGAGTATAATTATGATAAAGTTAATTGAATTTAATTAATTTAATGGGGGAGAAAAGAATTGACAAGTATCTGTTCAATCCTAAAGATATTATTGGAGAAGGATCTTATGCTTAAGTGTATAGAGGAAGAGATGAAAAGACAGGAGTAAAGGTAGCGATAAAAGTGTTGAACAAATCTGTCATAAATGCGTAATTTTAGATTGATCGAAATTTAGAGACGATTATTTAAGAGAAGGATTGATATCAGAGATTAAAGTAATGTAGAAATTGAAGAGTCCAAATATAGTATAATTAATGGATGTAATGGAAACAAATAATAATTATTATATAATTCAAGAGTATTGTGATAGTGGAGATTTAGATAAAATGATTGAGAAGTATTATTAATATAATATCATTAGTTATGTAGCTTAAAAGAAAACTATGCCTGAAAAAGATGCAGTAAAATTTATGATTGATATTTTGAATGGATTCATTTAACTAATAAAAAATGGAATTATTCATAGAGATTTAAAACCAGCAAATATTTTAATTGATAAAGGAGTATATATTTATAATCATATTATAGACTTTCAAATTAGCAGATTTTGGATTTGCAAAATGTGTTGACAATTTTAAAAAGGATATGTTAGCATCATTAGTAGGAACACCATTATATATGTCACCTTAAATATTAGATAATAAAAAATATACTTCCAAAACTGATATTTGGAGTATTGCATTTATTTTTTATGAAGCACTTTTTGGTAAAAGTAAATATTCTCCTTTCTATTTAGCTCCTTGGACTGCTAGATCACCTTAAGAACTCTTAAAGAATATTAGAAATCAACCTTTGTAATTCAAAGGACCTTAAATATCTAAAGAAGCCTAAGAATTTTTAATAGGATGTTTACAGGCTGAAGAAAAAGATAGATTATCTTGGGATGAGATTTATAGACATCCTTTATTTAAAGGACATTTTACTGATTTTATTAAAAATGTTAGTATTTTAGAAGACAAAGCCACTTATTTGATTAATGATATTAGATAGATGATTATTAAAGAATAGATTGATATTGGAGAATTATTTGCTGAACTTGATATGACTAAAGATAAAGCTTTAAATGTTAATGAATTAGGAAAATTTTTATAAAGAGTAGATAAAGATCTTACAAGAGAAGAAATTGAATATATTTTCAATAAATTTGATGATGATGGAAATAATTTAATAGAGTTCAATGAATTTAAAAAGTGGTTAGAAGAAAATGATGTAAATATAATTATATATTATTTTTTTTAGTGTAGAATGACAGCATCTGAAGTAAGTAGAACTAAAAAGAAGGTTAGTATTCTTATGAAACCTTAATAAGATATTTAAGCTGGATCATTAGATGATAGAGTAAGAATAGTAATTGAAAAATTAAAAGTATCAATTGTCAAATTCAATATCAATCTTTTAGATTTATTTAATAAAGTAATTATTCTTATTATTCTAGTATGATAAATCAGCTAATCATGAATTAGATGTTTAAGAATTAGGTAAATTATTAAAGAGAATTGATTAAACTGTTACAGATGAAGAAGCTAAGGCCATCTTTACATTCTTTGATCACAATAAAGATGGATCTGTTTCATTTAATGAATTTGAATTTGTCTTGAAAGAATGCTTAGTTAAATAAAAAATCAAATAATGATAATGATATATCTACATATCGTAAAAAATGTTAAAATATATTCTTTTATATATCATACAATTCCTAACAAAGAATTATAAATCTTCATAAAAATTATAATTGCTTTATTTAATGGATTAATAACATATGGTCTTAATCCTCTTGCTAATGTAAACCATCCTATTGTTTTTCTTAATTTTGTCTTATAAACTTTATCATTTTCTGCCATTTTCAAATGATGTTCATATGATGTTCTTGGTATACCTTCTTCACCTAAGAAATTCTTTATCAAAAGATCAAAATCTAAATTTATTTTATTTTATACTTTCACGGAATGATTTCTCTTCTATTTCTGTAATCAAGGGTGCATCAATCTAAAATTCTCTCATTAAACATATTGGAGATAAAATTGAAAATATTATTCCTAATTTAGGAAAACTGAAATAGACATTTAAAAAATATGATAAGATGACTGAATAACCTATTAAATATCCAATATATGTATGTAAATAATAAGGCAAATGATCCTAATATGGAATCTTTAATGATATATATCCAGTTGTTATATATACTGCATAAAGTAAATAATCGACGTGTTTTATTATTAATGATATTAATGTATTTTCTGGTAAAATTACAACCAAAATATCAAATAATGAAGTTTGTAACAATAACAAAAAACTGAAAAGTAAAGCCTACAAAGTTAATTTAATTTAATCAATTATAGTTGAGAATCCTACATTATTGTCTCTTTTTAAATTGTATATAAAAAATTGTCTATTCTATTTAACATTTGTTTCATATTAAATTGCTGTTTAAGTAATCTTTCCAACATATACCAATTATCTAATATTGTTTTCAAGGTACAAGAGTATAGGTATAATTTAAATCAACAATATAATTGGTTTAGGGATCGATAATAATCCTAACAAATATACAAATAAGTCAATTATAAAAACAATAGCTAATTTTATGCCTGCAAATTCAATTGCTTGTTTTAAATATTTTTAAATATCCATGCAATGTTTTTCTTTTACATCAAAAGCATATCTTCGAATTCCTTTCATGAATTAAATGCTATCAAATAATCCATAAAGGAATAATATCGATTACGTTTTTATATATTACATATAATTATTATTATATAAATATAAATAAAGAATGTTCATTTTCTATTACTATTTTTATAACAATAAATATAAATTCTATTAGTTTTCAATATTGTCATATCAATTACAATTAATATTAATCACTCTTCATTTCCTAATTTAATTTTATTAGTTTACTTAATTTTCATTAATAAAACAAATACTATGTAATATTAATCAATATTAAAATAAATATATTTACTAATAAAAAATGAAATAACTTGATTATATTAATTCTTAAATGTAAATTATATTTCAAATGAAAATTTTGTTATAATTTAAAAACATAATCAATATTATATAATTTTTATATATTTATTATCCAAATTATTTATATTAATATATAAATAATTAACGAAATGAGTCAATCGACAGCAAAAAACTTAAGAGATTTGCTTATAAAATAATAACTTAATAGTAAAATTAAATTTAAAGGCGAACCTGTGAATAAAATTTAACCAACTAGAAAATAATCAGGTAATTGGGATAAAAAAGTTGATATTTCCTAATGCTAATGCAATTAAAAGAATTGCAATATATGCATAAAGAAAAGGGTTGTAATTAATGCTTCACCTTTACTGAAAGTCAAAGTTAGCACTAAAAACTAACCATGTGAAACTGATAGTAAAAGAGAGATCAAAGCAGGCAGTTCAGTTTCAGCACATCAATCTCCTAATCGTGAAAAACAATATTAGATGCAATAAATGTTTTTACAAAAATAACTTTAAAGCCATTTACATCAATTATAAGAATCACGTCCATAATCAAGATAAATACCAAAAGAATAGGTAAAGAAACCATAATTTTATCATAATATGGATAATTTTTTGAATAGCTATTATTAAAAAAGTAATCTAAGCAATTCTTAGTTATATGAAAACAGTTACAATGTTAAATCAAAAGCAATTCCAAAACGAGTAGAATCTAAAAGTCATGTATTAAGTAATACTCAAACTTCATTTAAATTAAAATTGACTTAATAAGGACCTAAATTTTCAGCTGTATCTTATTGAATTTTATATTAGATTATCAATTCTGGATTAGTTGAATCAGCTCCAAACTCTCCTAATAATCATGAAAGTTCAAATAAAAGTAAATTAACACCTAATGATTCTATCTCGAAAAATAAAATTAATTAAAATGATTCAAAATCAAGTGAATTAAGAAGAAAATCTACAGGTGAGATCTCAGATAAAACTTAAATACTTAGTTTAAAAATAGAAGAATAAGTAAATAGAACTCATTTTAAATTTCTCTATGTAATTGGTAAAGGTGGATTTGGAAGAGTTTGGAGAGTAGAAATGAAAAAGAATAAGAAATTATTTGCATTAAAAGAAATGTCAAAAGCTAAAGTAATATAAAAAAGAAGTGTTAATTCAGTTTTAAATGAGAAATATTTATTAGAACATTTACATCATCCTTTTTTGGTTAATATGTGGTATGCATTTTAAGATAGGGAAAATCTATTTTTGATTATTGATTTATTGACTGGTGGTGATCTGAGATTTCATTTAGGAAAGATGAGAAGGTTTAGTGAAGCTTAAACCAGTAAAGAATATTTATTACAATAGAATTTTTTGTTGCTTGCATATTGTTGGCTTTAACTTATTTACATTAAAATGGGATAATCCATAGAGATTTAAAACCAGAAAACTTAGTATTAGATTAAGATGGATATATGAGATTAACAGATTTGGGAATAGCTAGAATGAATAAAGGAAATAATGCTGGAGATACATCAGGAACACCTGGATACATGGCACCTGAAGTAATGTGTAGAATGGATCATTCAGTTGTGGCTGATTATTATGCACTAGGAGTAATAACATATGAATTGATGCTTGGAAGAAGACCTTATAATGGTAGAACTAGATAAGATATCCGAGAGTAAATTCTAGCTAAATAAGTTTAAGTAAAAAAGGAAGAGTTACCTTTAGGATGGAGTGAGGATTCACTTGATTTTGTAAATTAGGTATTTAATATTATTTGATGATTTTATTAGTTAATATTAAGAAAGCCGGAAAGAAGACTTGGTAGTAATGGCATTGAAGAAATATTACATCATTCTTGGTTGAAAGGATATCCTTGGGATGATTTATTAAAAAAGAAAATTAAAGCTCTTTATGTTCCAGGAGTATTTTATTTAATAGAATGTTTAGGCTGTAGATGATAATTTCGATTTTTAGAATCAAATTTCAGAGGAAACTTAATTGAATGATGATTAATAATTAGAGAATTAAGGTCTTTTAAGGAGAGATACTGTTTAATGTAAAAAAATTAATAAAATATAGCTTTATTTGATGGATATAATTTTGATGTTGAATTAAAAAACATTTAACATTAATAAACATAAAAGAATTAATCTTAAAGAAAATCATAACCTGTTTCTCCAGAGAAAAGAGTATGACATTGAAAAATTATTAATAATAATTGATAGTCAACTTTCGTTTAATCTAAATTTTTATATAAACTCTAAGAATTCTTTATTGTAAAGTTTTTGTGACATCTTGTTGTTGAGAGTTTAATATTTTTTTAACATATATAATAATTCCTCATTTCTCTTTGTTATAATAGAATAACTTATGAACTAATTGTTCTAAATTCAAAAACTTATTCCTTTAAATTTGAATATCCAATAGGTTTGGCTAAGACTTATACTCTTATTTATTTTTTTAAATATTATTTTGAATGAGAGACTTGAGAATACTCTTCAATTATTTGTTAAAGTCATTAATAATAAGTTAATTATTGGATTTAAGTTCATTAATTTTTTTTTTCTAATTATATAACAAATTTAAATGAAAGATCTCTAATTTTAATGAAGCCACTAATTAATTGAGATGTTTTAGTTCCTTATCTTAGTTATCTTTGATAATCTTCCATTTATTGTTTATAATGAATCAAACTGGTTTGAAAATTATATATAAATTGTCTACTTATATTTAGCAAGAGTAGTTCATTTAATCGATTTTTAAATATTTCATTTCAAAAATCTTGTCTTATTTTTGACATTTGGATTTTAATATTCTAAATTCTTTAAATTCATTATAGATTTAAGTATATTTAATTAGATGAATATTATTCCTTTTAAAGTGAAATTTTCTGATCAGTATGAATAAAGGTTTCAGTCAAATGAATTTGAGTTTGTAAAGGAAATTTAGTTATAATTGGTTAAATTAACATGATAATATTAAATTACAAGTTTCTATAGAATTGTAAAATAATTATATTTAAACAAATCATCCTAATGTGAAAATATTAATATTTATTTTAAAAAGTTTAGGAATGGATCCAAAGTATTTTTTATATCTCAAACAATTATAGGAATAAACCTTAGCCAAATTAAACTAATTAATCCAACTAATCTAATTAACAGGGATAATCAGAAAAAAAGGATGTTTCAACAGCTATTTTAGATAGAAAGAAAGCACCCAACAGATTAATAGCTGAAGAAGCCCTCTAAGATGATAACACAGTTATTCAATTATCTTAAGCCAAAATGAATGAATTGAAATTGTTTAAAGGTGCACCCGTTTTATTAAAGGGAAAAAAGAGAAAGGAAACTGTTGCAGTTCCAATCCCTGATAAATTAGATAATGAAAAAATTAGACTTAATAAAGTCATTAGAAAAAATTTACGCATTAAATTAGGAGATATTGTCACTATCAAACCATTAGATTAAGTATTATGAAATTCAAAATTTATATAGGTTCCTACTTTAACCAAAGTTCATGTATTACCATTTGATGATTCAATTGAAGGCATTAAAGGAGATTTAGCTTAAACATACTTGATTCCTTATTTCAAAGATGCTTATAGACCTGTTAAGAAAGGTGATTACTTTATTTGCAGAGGTGGATTCAAAGCAGTTGAATTCAAGATTATTGCTACTGAACCAGGAGAAATTGGTATTGTTGGTCCAACAACTACATTATTTACTGAAGGTGAACCAGTAAAAAGAGAAGATGAAGAAAAATTAGATGAAGTAGGATATGATGATGTAGGTGGATGTCGTAAGTAAATGGCTTAAATCAGAGAAATGATTGAATTGCCATTAAGACATCCTTAATTATTCAAAACATTAGGAGTTAAACCACCAAGAGGAGTTTTATTATATGGACCTCCAGGATCTGGAAAAACATTAATTGCTAGAGCTGTTGCTAATGAAACAGGAGCATTCTTCTTTTTGATTAATGGTCCTGAAATTATGAGTAAGATGGCAGGAGAAGCAGAAGGAAATCTAAGAAAGGCATTTGAAGAAGCAGAAAAAAACAGTCCTGCTATTATCTTTATTGATGAAATTGATTCTATTGCACCAAAAAGAGAAAAAGTTAGTGGTGAAGTAGAAAGAAGAGTTGTATCTTAATTATTGACATTGATGGATGGTTTAAAGGGAAGAGGTTAAGTTATTGTTATAGGAGCTACTAATAGACCTAATTCTATTGATGCAGCATTGAGAAGATTTGGTAGATTTGATAGAGAAATTGATATTGGAGTACCTGATGAAGTAGGAAGAATGGAAATCTTGAGAATCCATACTAAAAATATGAAATTGGCTGAAGATGTAGATCTTGCTGCAATTGCAAAAGATACTCATGGTTTTGTTGGAGCAGATATGGCTGCACTTTGTACAGAAAGTGCATTATAATGTATTAGAGAGAAAATGGATGTCATTGATTTAGAAGATGATAAATTAGATGCTGCTGTTTTAGAAGCTATGGCTGTAACACAAGAGCATTTCAAATTTGCAATGGGATAAGTTAATCCTTCATCATTAAGAGAAACTGTAGTTGAAGTACCAAATGTTAAATGGGAAGATATTGGTGGTTTAGAAGAAGTCAAGAAATAATTATAAGAAATGATCTTATTCCCTATTGAACATCCTGAAAAATTCCATAAATTTGGTATGTAACCATCCAAAGGTGTTCTATTTTATGGACCACCAGGATGTGGTAAAACATTATTGGCTAAAGCAGTTGCTAGTGAATGTTCTGCCAATTTCATTTCAATTAAAGGACCTGAATTATTGACTATGTGGTTTGGTGAATCAGAATCAAATGTTAGAGAAGTCTTTGACAAAGCTAGATAAGCATCACCTTGTGTTTTATTCTTTGATGAATTAGATTCTATTGCTGTTTAAAGAGGTAGCAGTGCTGGTGATGCTGGTGGTGCTGGTGACAGAGTTATCAATTAATTATTGACTGAAATGGATGGTGTTAGTGCCAAAAAGAGTGTTTTCTTTATAGGAGCTACAAATAGACCTGAAATTTTGGATGAAGCCATTATTAGACCTGGTAGATTAGATTAATTGATCTATATTCCATTACCAGATGAACCATCAAGACTTAATGTTTTCTAAGCTAATCTTAGAAAAACTCCTGTTGCTAGTAATGTTGATCTTGCTTATCTTGCTAAAATTACTGATGGATTCTCAGGTGCTGATATCACTGAAATCTGTTAAAGAGCTGCCAAAGCTGCTGTCAGAGATGTATAAATATAATATTAAATAATAGGCTATTGAAGCAGAAGCTAGATAAAAGTAAGCTCTTTAGATGGCTCCAAATAAGGCATCTTAATTAATTAAAGCAGATCCAGTGCCAGATCTAAATCGTAAGCATTTTGAGGAAGCTCTTAGACATGCTAGAAAATCAGTTACAAATATTGTATATCTTTAATTCTAAAAATTTAGGATTTGTAAAAATTTGAAGAATTCAAAAAGAAATTTGATCCCTCATTCAGTAAAGGAAGTAATTAAGGTGGATTTTCTTTCAAATGGCCTGAAGCTGGTGGTTAATAATTTGCTAGAGGTTAATAAAGTAGAATTTAAGAAGATGATGATCTTTATGGAAATTGATTAAGATATATATATTATATTGATAGAATAGTAAATTTTTTTAATATTATTGTTATGATATATGAGTTGATTTCTAATTAAATTGTAAAATATCTGTTTAAATAATATTAAGTTAATATGCAATAAATTTAAATGTATAAAATAAATTCATTTCTTAACAGACCCCTTCTTTTTTGCTAAAAATATTAATTATTCAAATTAGTACCATCCTTTTTTTATTCTTCATCATATTTCTTTTAATGATCTAATGCCTATTACTTCAATTATTCAATTGCCAAACGTAAAGCTGTTATTTATGCTTACTTCAATTTATCCGCTTCCTCTAATTAAGCTAATTATGTTAAATATGGTTTAAGCATTTCTTTAGCTTCATATTCTGATTGATCCATTCTAATTTATATAAATTTATATAATTAATAATATTAAGATATAATTAATAAAAGATAAACAGAACTCAATTTCTTTTTCTTTACTTTTAATTCTTTTAATTGTTCATTCCTTAAATTGATTTTAAACTCCAATAACCTCCTCCAAAAATAGCTACAATCAAAACCAAGAAAAAAGCATAATGTAAATAATTAGGTTTAGATAATAAAGAAGATTCTTAGGATTATTATTCTTTCCATGCATTTTACCATTCTGATTCAATCTTCTAAGTTTATTAATATGTTTATTTAATTTTATTTTTCTTGTCCATGTCACCTAAATCCTTTTCCAATTTCTTTATTATTTTCAATAATGCCTCCTCTTCTTTTGTTAAAGTAACATCAATCCCAATAAATTATTTATAACTAAAGTCTTTAACCACTTCCTTATATGCCAAACTTGATAAGATCTAATTAATTATTGAAATGATTTTACCTCATTATTCACATCAATTATTTAAACACAAGATAAAATCATTTACATTTGGACTTTATGAAATATTAAAGTTTTGTTTCCATTTTCTATACTCTCAATTATTTGATTCATACTCTCCTTTTCATTATTAATATCCTTTATTGTCTTTATCCAACAAGCTCCAATTTTCCTTGAAAGACTTTGATATCATATAAGCTTATACATTTCTTCTTCTGTCTCTTCCTATGCAAAAGTCGAAACCACTAAAAACAATAAAATTTATAGCATCAACGTGTACTAATTAATATATTAATTAATAATAATCAAATGTATTAAAGATGCTAAAAGTTTAAAACGAATTTAATGTGTTTATATATTTTATATCATTCATCTAACAAATTATTAAATTCTTAATCTGAAAGCACTTTATCCTTAGATTTTGCTCTGAGTAAATCAATTTCAACTAATTTCTTTTTCTCTTTTTACTTTGCTTCTTCTATTTATTATAACACTTTATCAAGTTCTTTTTGTCTAGCTTAATACTGAGATTTGGTTATAGCCCCTGATCTTCCTTTTGATGATTCAATATCATCAACTGGATTGTATGGTGCATCAACTTTTGGTTGAAAATCAATCGAATACCTGTATCCAATATAAAAACTTGCTCCAGCAAATCCTATCAATAACAATATTTCAAATAATATTGCCATACGTGTTTATGATAATAATAATAATAATAATAATAATATATACAAAATATTTTCAATAATTAATAGTTTTTTACAGAATATTATTTTTATATATTAAATGAGGTCCAATCTTTTTCCCATTTATATATTGTCCTTCTTCATAAATATGATTATTATGATATAATTATCCTTTTCCATGATAAATATTATTACAAAATTCACCGAAATACTTCAATTCAAATTCTTCATTTTGATTCTTTACATAATACTTCCCTATTCCACATCTTACTGACTTTTTCCAAAATCCAATATAAAACCATCTTTCTTTTACATTCCATCTCTTTCCTTCACCATATAATTATCCATAAATTATTAATCCATCATGTTCCTCATATATTTAAAATTAACCATTCTTTAATTCATCATACCATATCAATCTACATTATCCATGTTTAATTTCATGATCAATATTGTATGACCCAATATATTTTTATAAACGACTATCATTATTTAATTCTAATACTATTCCATATATAAATTTCCCTTTATCAAATATCCCTTCATAAATTGCCCCTTTTTGCTTTTTCATCATAATCCCAAAACCATGTGCTTTATTATTTAAAGTGTAACCTCCATATTCAAATATTTGATTTTCTATTTTTTTTCTATTTTTTTGATAATCAGAAAGAATTCTAAATTCTAATGGGATTTCAAAACTTGGTGAAGAGAATCTTTTCCATTTTTGAAATCTCTTGATTTTAGGATTATTAGACCAGATTTCAAAATCATTTAGATTTTCTAAAAATTTCTAAAAATTATAATTATCTGTGTATCCATTTCTAGAATTTGGTGGAGATGTTGCTGATACTATCTTAATCAATTATTATTAAGATTCAAAATCTTAAATTAAAAATGGAACTATTTCATCAGTTATTGATGACTATCTCATTGGATTAACAAAACATATTTTATTATTCTGTTAATTATTATCAATCTACTTACTTGTTTCTAAACCATTAAAATTAATTAATGACTTAGTAAGTACCATATCTTATGCTCTTTTAAACTCATTCACAACATTTTATTATTGTTAAAATTATTAATTCAAATATCCCTTTTAAATTTTTAATTCTAAATTTATAATTTACTACACTACATTACAATATTTGACTTATTATGGATAAGATAGATCCTCAAATTCTTATTTTGACAAAAAATTATTTGCATTTGGTTATACCAAAAGATTTTATAATTTCTAATTTACATAATTTTACTCATTTTACTATGTATCCTATAGTTAAATTAAATTTTTCTTAATTTTTATTACATTTTATAAACATATTTCTATTTCCTATTAAGAAGGATCATTATCTTTTTATGTTTAATTATTAATTTCTAATATGTTTTATAGATTAAGGATATATTGATCTAATTATTATTCATTCATCTAATTTAATTCTTCTTAATTTAACAATATTAATTCTTATTCTCTTGTATAATTTAATTTCTCTTTTATATTTGAAATTTAATCTATTGTTTATAATTACTTTTCAATTTCATCTTCATTATTTTATTAACTCTTTTTCATTTTCAATAAAATTTCTTAGTATTTACATAATTATTAGCTATTTAATAATTTTAGTAAATCAATCCTTAATAAATTATCTGTCTATTAATTATCAAGTTTATTTAAATCTTGATCTAAATTCTCTGAAACAATATTGTGTTAATCCTTAACTAATTTTAGAACCTTCTAAGATTCCTAAACATTCTCTTCATGATTTACTGAATTATTCAAACCTTTTTACAATTCTTCTATTTAGATAATTTATATAGAATCTTCTTTAGATAATTATGATTCATTCTTTTCTTATTCAATAACCTAAATTTAATTCTATTAGTTCTTTAATAATTGAGAGCTTTCTTTATTTAATATAAATATATTCTAATTTTATTTCTTGTTATGATTATTTAGGTCTTGTTTATCATTTTAGTCTTTCAAAACTTATATTTTTTGACTCTTTTTGATTTCAATTAAATTCTAATCATTTTCATTTTATCCTGTTTGTTTTCTTGAAGTATTTAAATCAAATTCTTAAATTTAATTTGCTGTTTAAAATTGAGGATCTTTATTAAACTCAATAATGGATTAACTAGTTTCATCTTTTTGACTTTATGATATATCAAATTGATTATCTTATTGATATAATATTAGATTTGATTAAAACACTTAATTTAATTCTTATTGATCTTTAACATTTTAAATTGAATGAGCAGAATTTTAGTTTCTAGTTTTAATATTTTAAGGAGAATTAGAATTATTAATAATTTCTATTACATGATGTTATAATTTTGGTAATTCTTCTACTTTAGAATCAAATTCTTTTATTATTTAAGATTATTGATTTAGAGGAATAATATTTATTTAATTTTGTTATTATTGATCAATATAGAAAATGGGATTTTAATTAGATTCATTATTATTAAATGATTAAATTTCATAAACATTACTGTTGCTTTATATTGTAGGTTATTAAACAGGAATCTAAAATTATATTTATTCCACAATTTTAGGTGATTTTGATAACTTATAATCAACAACTTAATTTAAAGTTTATTATTTATTTTGATATTTTAATAGATCAGATACAGTATTAATTTAATCCTTTTTTTAAACTTGATCTTTGACATCTGTCAATACTTAAAGTTAAGATGGTTGTTCTTAATTCAAATGTTATAATTTAGTTTATTTTAATTTAGTCTAATTCTTAAATAGATTATCATCATTTATTTAAGTAAGTAATAGAGTTTAATCATTATTATTGAAAGAGTTTAATGAAACATGATTTAATTTGATTAGTTTTTATTCTTCAAATGATAAACTTTCACATAATTATTTCAGATTACCATTTGCAAATTATTCTTCTTCATGATTTTTTGGAGAAAAGATTTATATTGAATTTTCATCTATAAAATATGATTTATCATCATTATCTAATACTTTTCCTTAATTCAATTAATTTTTGAATGTATATTATTGAATATTATTTTTAGTTTGATGTTATAATGTTTAATCATGTTTTTTTATTTCTTGATCAATAACTTATTACAATTATTATATTTAAGTTGAAGATAAATATTAGTAATCAACTTTAGTATTAATTTATACTTGTCTTTTTAATTATATATTGAGAATATTGTAGTCTTTTTTAATATTTTATTTCTATTAATTATTAAATGAATCATTCAAAGGAAGTTACTTTTTTAAATGTTCAAGACATATTAATGCAGATATTTTACCAAATGATAATTTTTTAATTATTTCTGTTATTACCTTAAAATTAGGATTAGTTGCCTATTTTCTAATCTCTAAATCAAATTTAGCTATATCATATCCATAAAAATTTTTGATATCTTCTGGTATTTAAGTTTAAAATGATAATAATTATAATAAGATGATACTTATACTCCAATTATCATTTCTCTTTAGAATCACTTTTTTATATTATTCATTCTCAAATATTGATGCCCATTCACTTTCTTAAAAATCTATATTGTCTTATGTAATTATCTCCATAATTTCAGGAGAACTATAAAATAGTGTTTCATTTTATTTATGTCTTTCTTCAGAATTAGCACTCTATTTTGTATAATGATTGTAATGAGTTCTTGCACTTCCAAAATCAGTCAAATATGTATTATTCTCAATTAATATCAAATTATTAAGTTTAATATTTCTATGTTAAATTTCAGATAATTCTAATATAGATGCAATCTCAATTATTTATTCTGCTATTTATAATTTCTATTATTCACTTATCATAGATGTATTAAGAAAACTATTCAAAGACTTTGCATTAGATTTACAATTATAAGTAATATAAACTATTACTTATATTTATTAAACATCAGCTGTCCAATCAATTATCTGTAATATATGATTAGGAAATTGATGACTCAAACTAACCTAATATTCTATTTCTAATTATAAGTTTTATTTCCAAATATTCCAATTACTTTTTACTGAAAAATTTATTGTCTTTATTAAATTTCCATCTCTTGTACTCTTAATATTTGGATATATCCTACTTAAATCAATCAATTTTAAAGGAAAATATTTTTCTTTATACTCTCGAAAATGTATTTACATTAATAATTATATCTCTTATTTATTTCCACTATACTTTCAGCAAAATAGACATCAGTTTTTCTATTTGAAAAAAACTTTTGTTTTTATTACATTTGACAATCACATATTATTTTGTAGTAATATTAGATGATAATTCTAATTTTATGTTGATTTTAGAGTTAATTTTTAAGAAATTGTTAATGATTTTATAATAATAAGAATAAGAGAATGATATTAATGATTTGTATTTTATTGTTATTTAATAGAAAATTGAAATTTATATTAAGAAGAAAAGATAAATGAAAGTAGGTTAATCTAATATGATCCTTTTTTATTAATTATTTGATTTAATTATAAATATATATTACAGTTAATGAATAAATCAAGGGATTGGAATATTGTAGATGATGAATTAAATAGAAAATTAAAACAATTATAAGAGTTGAAATCATCACTTGATGATTAATCTACAGAATTATTACTACAAAATAAAGATTAAAATTAAGGTATATAAATGTCTTATTCAAAATTAGAATATAATAATGATATCAATTACTATAAGGAATTCTGGAGATATTATATTCTAAATGAAATGACTATAAAAAAAGTTAATGAATTACATACCTAAAATTAAAAATTACATGAATTAATAGTTGAAATTGATGTAATTTATTATTGAAATACCATAGAAATTACAATAAGAATTACATTAAGCTTTAAGTTATCGTCATAAAAAGAAAAATAGAAGAACTTCATAAGAGATAGAGAAATCTTTCATTTGTCCATATGAAAAATGTAATAAGTAATATGGAAGTGATGTTTCTTTAAATTTACACATTAAATTGAAACATGATGGAGGGAATAAAACAGATAGAGAAAAATTTGCTGTAAAAATCTCTTATATTTTGATTTAATGTAGAAAATGATTATTGAAGCCTAATAAAATGGTGAAACAATCACTGATTTGAATATTAATATCAAATTTCCTCCAGGATACTTGGATGTACAATTTATTTAATTGTAGTAATTCAAAACTCAATTTATGTTAAGTTAATAAAATTAGTTAAACTCAGAAAGGAAATCAATCGAATAAGATTGATTCACCATTGAATTAAATATAATATAATTTTTTGTTTTTGCTAAATCACCATTATTTCATTTAAAAATCTTTAGAAATGTGGGGTGGCCATTTTAACTTTTATAAATTAATAATAAAATATAATATGAATTTAGGAATAGATTAAATAATACCTAATTTGTACAGTACTATTGGGAATCCTACTTAATCAAATATTTTAGAGGACTGTGTATTGGAGTTTCAAAAATATTTGGAGAAAGTAATTCCAAATTATTTATAAGACTCCAAAGCAAAGAAATTTGTATTTAAAGACTAAATGACAACTAATGTCATAAGTATGCTATTATTATATTAATCATAGTTTCACTTTTAAATTTGACCAACCAGTCAGATTTTCTTAAACCTTATGAAAAATAATAGACTACTACGACACTTAATAAATTATATAAAATTGTATAAGAAATATCAGAGCATGAGAAAATTCGAATTTTGATTAATTAAACTATATTAAATATAGAAAGAGATACCAATAGATTATTATAGGATTTATAAGATTTATTTTAATTACTATTCTCTTCGAAATCTTGTGGTAAAATGACACTATTACAATAATTTGATTAATATGTAAGAAAATTACAATAATATACATTTTTTTGGGAAAATCTAATTTTATTAGAAAATTAGCAAGCAACCATCAAAATTTAAAAGGATTAATTTGCAAAGGAAACTGATATACTAAATAAAATAGAATAATGGAAAATATCTATTATTCAAGAAAGAAATTAAATCTCATCATCTAAACCATCATCACTAATTTTAGATCAAAAGAAAATTATATAAACCTAATCCATATAATAAAAAAATATACTTAAAGCTTTATAATAATATTCTGGACTTGCTCTTTAGAAGAATTAATTATAATCAATCTAATTATTTGAAGATTTAGCAAAATAAGGCAATCCTTTAGCTAAAGCCATATTGGGTTAATTAATCTTGGAAGGTTAAATTTGTGAAGGAAATTATGAGAAAGTAATAATATAAAAGGTATTTTAATAGGCTTATGAATATTTTTCAGAGAGTGCTGATTAAAATTGTCCTATTGGTATTTATTTTATGTCAAAACTAATATTAGTAAAAATATATTTTTTAATTATAATAAGGAAGGTAAAGTATAAAATAAAGTATTTGGAGAAGCCTAAAAATCAACCAGTAAATTCGATATTACTAACAATTCTAGATGTGATGAATGTCAATTTGCAATTTCAATGTTGAAAATAGCTTCAGAATCAGGACATGTTGAATCAATGATTTATTTAGGAGATTTGTATTATTAAGGATACAAATTAGATGATTGTATAAATACTTAATATTTGTAGTTACTTTGGAAAGTGATTACTCAACATCTGAAATCTATTTCAAAGAGGCTAACAAATAAGATAGTGTAGAAGCCAAATATAAACTAGCAAAATTATATTAAAAGATGTACAAAATTTCCATTTACAAAGTAATTATTCTTAATATTTTATAGAATAGAATATAATTAGTATATCCATTGTTATTGGAAGCTAAAAATAATGATTATTTGCCTGCATATTATGATTTGGCTAAAATATTAATTGAAGGTATTAAAGATGAATTATAGCCAAATTAAATTATGGCAGAATTGATATTAGAATAAGGGGCAATGAAGGGTAATATAGACTGCACTAGACTTATTTTAGAAAGCAAATATAATAATTTAGTTAATAATTAAATTAATATATCAGAATTTCTTTAATTATTGGATTCTTTAGATTAAATTTAGAATAAAGTTGAGAATTTAACATTTTATTATAGAGGGAAAATAGCTTAAATAGATAACAATGTTTAACTTGCTATTTAATTATTTAAGTATATTTTTAGGTTTATATAAATTAGTTTAGGATCAAATTTAGGTTGTTCGAAGTGTAAATAAGAATTAAGTTTAAATTCGAAAAAAGATTTAATAAAAAAGAAGGAATAAGAGAAATAAGAAATATTTTAAGCTAATCTTGGTTTTGTTTAATTAGTAAAGTAAAGTGATTGGAGATTAAGATTCAGAAAATAAAGTATATTTTCAAATCCATTTAATGCTTCATAGATAGAAAATGATCAATCAACTGTGTAAATAAAAAATAATTTAATTTATTAGATAAGCTAGAATGACAGCTAGTATAATAAAAACAATAGATATAAATGATGCAGAAGATAAGAGAAAAAGAGTAATATCTGATTATACAGGTTTTTCAAAGTAATAAGTTTCAGATTAAAGTATATTATTATCTAATTTAAAACTTAAACCAAACGATTAACATTAAATTAATTCAAATAATTAAATATAAGAATAAAAATAGAGAAAATCATCATAATTTACAAAAAAGGAAAAACCTAAGTTTTTAAGACATTTATCTTAGCATGCAATTCATTCATAATCTTAAAATGTATTAAATATTTAAAATGAATGAGAATATTTTGTATTTATTTAATCTCTTTTTATATATAATACAAAAATATCTAATAAAATAAATTTAATAAATATTCATATAAATATATATGTATTTATGAATGTAAAATTTCAAAGTGTTAATATTTTTTCTCCTTTTTTATAAATTCTATCTTGTTTTTACTAATTTTAAAGTCCTAAAATTTCATTCATTTCTTCTTCTGATAATCTTACTTTATTATAAATAGATGTGAATTTTTATTTTTGTTTATCTGATTTAATTATTGGTTTAGTAGATATTTATTTTTTTTTTTATAATTCTTCATCTTTTTAAATTTCCAATATTTACTATCTTTTTCTTGTTGTAATTACATATGTCTTAAGATTTGGAGGTTCATCTATAATTTAAATTACTTTATTATTATCATCAATTATCTTTTCTTGATTTTATTATACTTATTTTGATTCTTAGATTTATTTCATTAAATTAATTCCATTCTTTTAAGATTTATGTTCTTTATTAGATTCACCTAATTCAAATTTAACTTTTTTTTCACGATTATGTTATTTTTTAACTTATTTCTTTATATGTTTTTATTAATTAGATTCTTTTTCTTCTTCTTAAATATAACTCTTTTATCTGAGTACATTTTCTATATTAGAAGTAGAACTCTCTTTCAATGATTATGGACTTTTAGGTTTCTTCTTTTTTGATTATTTAAATTTAGCAGTACATTTTATATTTTATTATTCTGATTAAGTACAATAATGATTAGAGCATTTTATTTAATCTTAAGAGGATAAAATAAGTTATAAAATATTTATGTTGTATTTACTTTGAACCTAATAATTTTTATCACATTTTAAACATAAGACTTTTTATTAGTTTTGATAACAAAATAAAAATATTTCCTCTTTGCATTCATTACAAAAACAATGTTTTCTCATTTAATAATTTATATCAAGATTATAAACCTTTTTCTTTTATATCAATTCTCTTACTACTTTATATTCTTAATTTATTAATTCTTATAGATAAATTCTCAATTATTCATTCTTATTATGAATAAAAATATCTAAAAATAGATTTTATATAGGAATTTCAGGTTTTATTTTATATTTGATATTCATCTATTCTCTTTTTATCATTTATTGATATGAATATGAATTCATAGCCAAATAACTCCAACCTGTTGTAATTGTTGTAGATAAACATTCAATTTAATACAAAGATCCTGCTCCTAAAATAACTAGATCACCTGGTTTTTATATAAATCTCTTATAAGGTATATCATATTTCTTTAATAATTCTCTTTTTAAATATTAATCACCTTATTATAGGATAAATTATTTTTCATTTTAATACAATTTTTCAATATGTTCTGGATCAACAACAATCCATAAACAATCTCCAGGTCCATGATTTAAATTAATTCGATTTACTGCACCAGGTTCTTGTTTTGCTCCTTACCAACTTCCTGGAGTCATTATATTTAGTAAAAGCTCATTAATATTTTTAATTTTCTATCTTAAATAACTTAATCCATCCTCTTTTAAAAAACATTAAGGCATATATTCATATAATTTATATGCCTCTTCTTCCCAACTTTCAATTTATAAATCAAATAAAGATAGCAATTTGTTTTGATTGTATTACTTATTTTTTAAAAAGAACTCTATTGGATCATGTAAATAATCAAAGTATTTTGATAAATTCATTTAGAAACATGATTTTTCTGTATTTTCTTAATTTGTTTTAAGTTATTAAGTTAACATAACAGTTTCAGAACCATGATTATGTCTTATGTTTTATAATCTAAAGTATCCTCTATTTAATTGGTCTAAGACATTCTGAGGGATTTCCCATAAGAAAACAGATTAATCAACCCAATCTGATATTGGTTAATGAAATCTATTGAGAGGGTCTTTAATTTTTGGAGGTTAAGTTTTGTTATAGAAATCTAAATAGAAGTCTAAGAGTTCTTTAAATTTAAATTGATTGTCTTATTCTTCAATTGGTTATATTAAGTTTTCATTTTTAATTTCTTGTAAAAGTTCTTATTGTTAAGGGGAAAGGGAATAGTGAAGATTAACAAATTCTGTAAAAAGGTTCATGTTTTATTTAAATTAGTTTTGTAAATAATTTCCATGATGATATTAAAATAAATATAATAAAAAAAAATGAACTCTTAAATTTAGTCAAATCCTAGATAAGAATCATTCCTTTAAATGCTTCATTATTCAATTTGTCCATTATTGAAAGTAAAGAATCTAATTTAATTAGAGAAACAGTTTCACTTATTGGATAATTATTATTGATCTTATACATTATTTCCTTTCTTTAACATACCAATAAACCTAAATGTTTACTTTGAGACCACATTAAAAAGTGCTATTTAATTTTGGTCAATTATATCCCATATATACAAAATCAGAATTCTGGAGATTATTATTGAGTCTAGAACAACATAAAAACGAAACTCATTTATTTTTTTCATTATTGTTTAAAATGCATTTCTTTTCCTTTATTGAACATAATATTGGATTTAAGAATACTATGTTAATATATTTTATGAGTGGAATCTCTTCAACTCTATTTTAAGCTATTGTTAGTTAATAAGTTGGGTAATATAAATGTCATTTAATTATAATAGAGTTTGTGGTTCATTTCATGTAGGGGCAATTGGTTATGCTTTATATTTGTAACAATAAATGTTATGTAAATATACAATATTATAAGCAAGAAAAATGTTCAGCATAATAATAATTATAATTTTATTTTGATCTTCAAGTGAGTCAAGATTATGGTCTCACTTTAATTAAAGTAGCTATTGTATTATCTGTAATGTATATAACAAGTCTAAAATTTCATGGAATTTTAATGATTGGTTCTCTTCTATTTGGAATTTAATGTATGATATTGGGATAATACTTTTCATATGAGTAAAAGAAATAGCAATAATTGTAATTAACTAATAGTACTAAATAAACTTAATTAATTAAATACATTTATTTAGGTGGCTCTATTGTTGTTATCATTACAGAATTGATTGTATTTTTTCAATTAAAAAATCATATCGAAATTTGATTTTGTAATATTAATTTATTAGATTATTTCTTTGTTTATCATTTAACACAATTATTATTATATATTGTTAATTATATATATATATATATTAATAGATAGATTATTTAATATAATATACAAATACATATATTTCATAAATGAATAGTTTAATAAGAACATTTTTATAATTATTAAATAGCTTTTAATGCAAAAAATTGGATAAAACTTTGAATTAAAAAAAAAGTTAGGTTCTGGTGCTTTTGGAGATATATATTTGGGAGTGAATACAAAAAATAACATTGAAGTAGCTATAAAATTAGAACCTATCTCTTCTTAATGTCCTTAATTGAGATATGAACATGAGATTTATAAAAGATTATTAGCTGATAATTAAAGTATCGATAGAGGAATACCACATGTTTATTACACATCAGAGGAAGGTGGTTATACATTTATGGTTATGGATTTATTAGGGGCATCTTTAGAAGAAATATTTGTGGCAAAGAAAAAAAAGTTTTCTTTAAAAACAGTTGTTATGATTGGATTATAATTTTTAGAAAGAATTGAATTTATTCATTCTAAAGGTATCATACATAGAGATATTAAACCTGATAACTTTTTAATTGGAAAAGTCAATAAATAAAATAAAATATACATTTTAGATTTTGGATTAGCAAAACGATTCATAAAAGAGAATGGACATATACCTTATAGAGAATCTAAGACATTAACTGGAACAGCTAGATATTGTAGTTTAAATACTCATTTAGGTGTAGGTAATAAGTATTAGATAATATTTGTTAGAATAAAGTAGAAGAGATGATATTGAATGTATGGCATATGTATTATTTTATTTTCTCAAATCAACTTTACCATGGTAAAATATGAGAGCAAAAAATAAAAGAGAAAAGTAATATATAATATATTCATAATTATAAGATATGAAAGAATTATGGAAAAAAAAATGACCACAACTTATGATGAATTATGTAAAGGAGTTCCAAAAGAATTTGGTTTAATATTAAAACATGCAAGAAATTTAGAATTTGAAGAAGAACCTAATTATAAATATTTGAAAGGATTGCTTGATAATATTTGTTAATAGGAAAGAATAACTGTTGATAATTAGTTTGATTGGTGTAAATGAGTTTTTTATTAAAAATAATTTTTATTATTAATTTTTGTTTGTTATAACTTATATTTGCTTAAAATGCGTTCACCTTCACTATTTTCACCATAAAAGCAATCCAGATATGAAAAATCAAATAGTTCAACTGGATTTACTACCTTCTAAGCTACTACTTAAATGAATACAAAATAATTGGCTGATTACAGAAGAGATATAAGAACAAATGTCTCATCTAGAGAACCTTTTACTTAACCTTAAGAAAAATCCTCTTCTTTATTTGCTTCATGGAGTAAAGCAGAGAAAGTAGTATTGTATTTATTTATTTTAACATCATTTTAGAGAATAATAAAAAGTCAATAGAAAATCACCAAAAAAGTCAAAACTACTTGGAGGATTGAATTATGAAGAAATTTTTACTAATAAAGGACCATAAACAAAACATAATAAAGACAAAGTTGAATAATTATTTAAGAGATCACCTAAGAATGATTACTTTGATAATTCATTTACATCATTCCCTAAACCTGCTAGATAGAATACTATTGGATCAGGATATAAAGATTCCCCATAAAAATCAAAAGAAAAATTAGAAAGATTTAAGAATTGGGATAATCGTTTAGATGTCTAATTGATTCTTTAAAATAAGTCAATCACAAATAAAATTTCTTCAACTGGAGATAAACCAGGATTTTATAAATATGTCAATGAAGCTTAAAAAGGATTGTTTGATAACAATCAATCTAATTTTCTTTATTCTAAAAGTAATAAGAATACACTATTTGATAATCAAAAATAATCTTTTTCTTTTAAGGATACATTCAATCCTCCTAAATAAACTACTTTTTAAAGAAATCATTCTCCTTAATTGTCAAATAGATATGTTGAGAAATTCCCCTTAACAGATATTGTCAGAATGACTTCCCATTTCTAATCTCTATCAACTTAAGAAGTTAATTCAATTCCAAGAGGGTATTAAAATCTATTAATTATTTTTAGATACATATCCGAGCTAAATAATTTGGCTGATATATTATAAAGAGTTGTTAAAAGATCAAATAATATTAGTTGAGATTTATATATTTACTGCATAATTATATTAATCAATTTCTATGAATTCAATATTTTATTCTAAATTAATCTAATAGATGATATTTTTATTATGATTATATGATATTTATTTATATACATTATGATTTTTAATATTTGAATTGAGACCATAATTTAATTGCAATTACACTTCTTTTATTAAATGATGTTAAAATTTTCTATTTGAAACAAACATAATTATAATATTTTTTATATATTAAATAAAATAATCATTATATAAATTTTCTAATAAAGTGATAATGTGAACGAAGACTCATTCAATTATTTATGATTAACGAATTCTTAGATTTTTGTCAAAAAAATGATGGACATGAAAGAAATAGACATTTGCCAGCAAGAAAAAAATGGAAGGAAGTTGAAGACGAGTTACTATTAAAAGCAATAAGAAAATATGGAACTCAATGGACTAAAATTTAAGATGAAATTCCATCTAAAGACTCTAGACAATGTTAAGCTAGATGGAAAATACTCAAACATGTATATATTTATATAATTATATATAATTAGAAGGAAGAAACATTAATGAGATTGGAAGCCTTAGCTAGAGAAGACTTCTCTGATAAAGATAGCCACTTATAAAAAATGAAGAAATAATTGAAATAAAGGAAAGAAATACCTAGAAAATATAATCCTAAATTTGATTACAATGAGGATTCATCTAGTGAATCAATGCATTTATAATAATTTTAAGAAGCATTAGCTAAACAACCAAATAAATTATTACAAATTCAATAACAATAATAATAGCAATAGAAGAGAGAATAATATTAGAAATAAGTGTAAAATTAATATCAGAATGTCTGGAATGCCATGGATGACAAAATGTTATGGACAGCTTACAAAATATACAAAGGTGCATGGAATTAAATTACTCCTAGATTTTAAGAGAAAAACCCTTAAAGCTGCATAGATAGATATTAATATGTAAAAAATTATAATGATTTCAATAGTTATTGTAATAAAAGAAAATCAAATTGTAAGAAGATGTTTCATCAGTGGATGTAATATCATCTCCAAATGATTTGAATAGTTCAAAAGAAGGATCTGAACAATTTGATATTTCAGTTAGTGAAGATGAAGATTCAACAGATTTATAGCGGTCTGATTGCAAAACATTATAAACAAAATAACAATAATACAAAGGAGTTTATACAGTCTAACAATGTCATACAAATATTGAAAGAATTTTGAAATCATTTTCTAATCATAATTTAGATACTTTGCCTGGAATACGCGAATCAATAGTCAAACTTATATTAACAGATTGACAATTTTTTTTTATATATTATATATCTCATTAAAATAAGATAAAAATATCTATAGCCTTAGCTAATTAATGAAAAAAAAATAATTTTAGATAGTTTATATTTTAAAGACTAAACCTAATCAGTTTCTCATTCATTTTTAATAAATTATATTTGCAAAACATTTTTAATAATAGTAAATACTTAAATACTATTTTAACCAATATAGACTATTATTTAATAATTAATTTTTATTAATTAAGAGAAATTTTAATGTTTATTTTATTAATAAATTCCAATAAAAATTTGATAATTTAGTACTTAATAACTCAGAATAATTTTGTAATCAACTATTTTACTTCTCTTATTTTTTGACTTTCAGAATATAATCATCTTATTATATATTTTCTTAATATTAATTAATTTATATAATATTATATGATATTTTATCATTTAATATAAATTAATTAATACCAAATATCTATTCAAATTATATGTTTTAATAATATTATTGAATATTATTAAAAACAATGAATGATAATGTTATATGCAATACACTTTATTTTCTCTAAAAATGTTAGCTTCTACTTAGTTAAATAGAAGGTCAATAAGAATGGATCAATGAAATAAATTAGTGTTAGAAGGTATTAGAACTTCATCAAGTTAATCACCCTCTCTATGAACAATGTTTAGTCTTCATCACAGACAAGATCATACATCCATTTTTGTAAGACTTAGACACTCTATTCAATTGTCAAGATGTCGTTAAGGAAATAAAAAAATATGAATTGAATTTTAATTACGTAATTAAGAGACTATCATTGGTAATGTTTGTATCTATAAATTAGATAAAAGAGTTCATACCAAATGTGGTAAAGGTACCTTTAGATGACTTATTTTGTAAACCTTAAACTGATGATGAATGGATTTAATTAAATCGATATATAGAATATGTTAATGTATAATGAAAAATTTAAAATAAGTTAGATGATCCACTATCGTTGTCTAAATAATTTGATTAATTTTATGACTATATAGCAATGGGAGCAGCTTATTGTACTTTGGGAACAAAGTATTCAAACTCATTGATTAGTTTGATTGTTTAGAATGTGGGTGGGGCTGTTATGTTAGTAAAGAAATAGACAGCTAGAAACATAAAGACTAAAGAGATTACTAATCCATCACTCTCATTTGTTAAAGGATTGTGGAGTATACAAAACAATTCAACATTTTTCAAGAATTTTATGAAACTGACTAATTGTAAGGTAAAATCACATCTAAAAATTCATGTTCCCTTTTTATTTGATGATTAATAATTTAAATATCATCATGATAATAATACTTATGTTTAAGAGAAATTTAAGGGTTTCAAAATGATTGATGATCTTTTTAATAAACTTTAAGCTAAGGAATTATTAATAAAATAAAAATAATAAAAAATAAAAGTGAGAATTATATCAGCAAATAAAGTAATTCTAAACAAAAATGTTGATTATACTTCATTAGTTTAGAAAGTAGTTGAAATAAGTTCATAACATCATTAAATAAGTCAAATTATTCAATAGAATAATAAAAATACAAATATAAAAAAAGTAATTTTACATATTCATGGTGGTGGATGGGTAGCCATGTCTTCATTTAGTCATCAATCTTATACAAGGAAATGGGCTAATTATTTAGGAGATGATACTATAATATTCTCGATAGATTATAGATTGGCTCCTGAATATAGATATCCTTATGCATTAGAAGATGTATGGCAATTATATTTATGGATCATAAATTTTAGTCAATTTTATTTAAATATAACAATTGAATAAATAGTATTAGCAGGAGATTCTGCAGGTGGTAATATGGCTTTGGGAGTTTGTTTTAGAGCAATAAAATATGGTATCAGAATTCCTGATGGATTATTGATGGCTTATCCAGCTGTCAATTTAGATTTAAATAATTTTAATCCATACTTATTATAAGGATTAATTGATTAAGTGGCTCCAGCAACTGTGTTAAAATTAGCTTTACATGAGTACTTAAAAGATACAAATGCAAAACCAAATGTTGATCCTTACTTAAGTCCATTAATAGCTGATGATTCATTTTTATAATTGTAATTACAATTATATATATTTTTTAGATTACCTAAAATGACAATTATGTGTGGTTAATTAGATAGTTTAACTGGAGATACAATAAAATTTGTTAATAGATTAAGAAAATTAGATAAGTAATTTAGAATGCTTATATATAATGGGATAAATCATGGATTTTTGAATTTTGAAGTACCTATTTTTGCAGTGCCTGCTATAAAACCATTAATAGAAAGTAGTTGTGATTTATTAAAGCAGTTATTTAATTAATGATAATTTATAATCAAGAAGTTCCACAACAAGTATCAGAAGTGTCTTTATTTTATTTAATTGGAACAGCTAAAATATTTGGTTAAGCAAATTCTTAAGTTTTCTTTTCAGATTTTATATCATCTATTTCATATCTTTAACCTGGTATTTCTTCTTCTATATTTTATGATTTTGATTCATATATTTCTAATTTATGAATTTGTACATAATATTACTCCTAATTAATTATTCAAAACATTCTTTAACATTTGTTCCTTCTTTTGCTGAAGTTTCATTATATAACATATTATATTATTAACAGATTTATTCTACTTCTTCAATAGAAACACATCGATTTTATGGATTATCTTACAACAAATCTAATTTGTTTCCTATTAACATAATCATTATTTTATCATCTGTATGTTATAAAATCTGAAAATCAATTGATTTATATTACTTCTTAACGCCAACTTAAAACATTATCAAATGAATTTCTATCACATAAATCATAAAACAATAAAGCTCCTTCAGATTTGCGATAATGAGCTGTTGTAATAGCTTTGTATTTTTCAGCTCCAGCAGTATCCCAAATTACAGATTTTACAATCTTGTCTACATCTGCAAGTAATATCGATTAGGCTGCATATTCAACTCCTATTGTAGGTTATGATTATTTTTTTATAACATTTTTGGTTAATCTAATTTGAATTTAAATTCCTACCTAATCAAAAAACTAGTCTTCCCAACACTTGAATCACCAACTAAAATAACTATGAAAAATTAGAAATTATATACTTTTATACAATTCGTCATATTGTGCTTTGGGTTCTGTCATATTAATAAATTTATAATAATAAAATAATTGATCAATTTATTAAACTAAACTTGTCCATCATCTCAATAAATTCGTTATAATCGATCTCCCCATCCCCATTCTTATCAGCTTCCTTAATCATATCATCCCAATACTTTTCATCTATAATTTTTTCACTTTCTATTGAATAAACATAAATATTATACTTCCTAAAACAGTCTATAATTCATGTTTATCTATTTTACCACTTCCATCTAAATCCAACATCTTAAATGCCTAATATAATTTCTCTTCCTTCATATACAAAGATTTCTCCATTGTAGCTGCCAAGAATTCTAATAATTATAATAATATATAAATATACCTGTATAATTAATTGTTCCATTTCCATCAGTATCTATACTCTTAATAATATTTCCTAATTCTTTTGCTTAAACATCACTCATTCCAATTAATCCTTCCCTTAGTTCATCTATTGTAAGTACACCATCTCCATTCTTATCCAATTATTTAAATAATCTATTTTAATATATTATAATACTTTCCTAAATCTGCAATTTCCTATTCATTTAATTAAGAAGCAATAAATGTTAGAGCAACCTTTTTAAGTTTATTACTTCCATTAAAGTTTTTCAATTATCCAAAATTTAATTTTAATTCTACAATTTATATATATTTAATTTACATTTAGTATTTTTACTACCATCCTTCATCCATTTATGTTATATCACTTATGATGCCTTATATCTCTTTTCTGGTGTTGTTATCATATGAGATATTAGATCCTTAGCTGAATCACTGACTTATTTTAATTCAGGTATTTCAAATGTATATTCACCTTTTTAAACTGCATCCAATATCTCAGGATCACTATCACCATAAAATGGAGGCACTCCAGATAATAAAATATAAAGAATCACTCCAGCACTCCAAATATCACAAGATTCATCATAACTTCCTTTTAATACTTCTGGTGAAATATAATATGGAGTTCCTGCTTTAGTTTTCATTGTAACTTTTTGACTTCCAGATGCTTTTTAACTTATTGGATCTTCAAATAATGTACTCAATCCAAAATCAATTACTTTAATGGGTGAATCATCAGCTTTAGTCAAAAACAAGAAGTTTTCTGGTTTAAGATCTCTATGACATATTCCATTTGTATGACAATAATTAAGTGCCTAAATTATATGATTTAAAATATCACTTGCATTATTTAAAGAAAGATTTCATGAGCTTCGGCTTCACTGAAGTATCCTTTGTCCATAATACGATCAAACAATTCTCCTCCTTCACATAATCTTTATAATTCATTAAAATATCATACTCCATAACCAAATACACATTTCTTTGATCCTCAAAAGTTTCATATAATTTAATGATATTTGGATGATCTAATTATCTCAATATATCAATCTCTTTTTTGAAACGATCAGGGTTTTTCACTTTGCTTTTTGGAATCACTTTCACTGCTCTCTAATTCTTCGTACCCTTCAGTGTAGCCTTAACTACACTTCCATAAGTTCCTGATCCTATCACTTTTTTTAAATTGATATCATAAAATTATTCAATTTTTCCCTCATGTGTCATAATAAACCATTATTTTTTCAGAAAGACATCTTGATCCATGATATGTTTATTATTTATTGATTTATTTATTTAATTATTAATTAAAAAGCATATATATATATATATCTATTTAATATATCCAACTTTTAGTAAGATATTTCATCTCCTTTTATTCCTATTTACTTAAGTAGATTGATTCAAATAGATAGGTACAATTCCAATTAGATATAAATTACTTAGTCTATATTAAAATGACATCACAAAATGATTTATTATTATATTTATTAATATCTCTAATACTGTAATACTATAATACTGAAAATATATTTGATGCTATAGATTACTTGTAAATAATTATTTTTAATGTTATTTATTGAATATTTTATTGATACCTTTATTTATTTTAATAATTCTTTTAAGAAGTGTTACTTTCAATCATAATATAAAACAATTAGTACTTTTAAAAGACATTTTCTTAATGATATTTAAAAATTAAGAAATCTTTTATGTCTCTCCAGAACAACAACAAAATTGACCAACAGAAGATGATTTAAGGATTGTAGTATATGATTTAATTTAAAATTTAATTAATCATAGCTTTTTAAGTATTTCCTTTATATTAACCACTCTTTTATTATTTTATGATCCATAGACAATAGATGGATCATACCTAGGTTTTGGTATTGAAAATATTGTTGTAAATTACCCTTTATGTTTAACAGTTGACTCACTTTATCTAGATTATTTATATTCAAAATCAACAATTTATGCGATTGATAGTTTCATCTTATCTTCATACTCTCTATAATTTTTGCAGAATTCTGCTTTTGAATTAACTGATTTAATTCTTGTTCTTAGATTAAACTTTCTTTCTCTTATAGCTAAACCCACAATAGATTTTTCTTATTCTGTTAATTCACTATTAGGAAGATCTCTTTCAATTTTATTATAATCTAACAGAGTTTTAACTCTTTTTCTTTAATTCATAACTTTTATTATTATATAAAATAAATAATCAATCTTAAGTATTTTCAGTTGATAAATTTTTATGGATTTTATAAACATTATATAATATTGACAGATAAGGTAGTTAAAATATGATAATAAATAAATATAAGAAAAGACATATCAATATGTTGAGGAAATACCTTTCAAAAGTCTTAATCCCAATCTACCTATTATGTACAAATCATCTCTGGATTAGTATCTCTTTTAATCATGTCTAGAAAAGGTATGTTTTCATAAATCATTTATTATAATTTTGGAATATAAGGTGGTTTAATCTGCATAGCTTCTAAATCTTCCTTAAATTATAATAATAATAATAGAGGATTACCCATTAAAAACCATCAAACCAAGGATGCACTTTTAAGGCATCATAAGACCCTCCTAATCTTAATTCTGGTGTTCGATTCATTAATTAATCCATTAATTTGATAGCTTTGAAATCTTTTAAAATTTAGGGATACTCCAATTTCCCATTTAAAATAGCTTCCTCTATTATAAATCTAAATAAATAAATATAATACGGATCATCTTCTTCATCACCAGCAAATGGTACTTCTCCACACATTAATTCATAGAAACATATTCCTAATGACCATAGATCTGTTGAGAAACTATAACCCTTACCTTTCAATATATCAGGAGACATATAATGTGGAGTACCAACAACTGTATAAGTTTTAGAAGCCTTTGACTTTAAAACTTTGGCTGTACCCATATCAATCAATTTGATATAACCATTTTCTCTAACAATAAAATTTTCAGGTTTGACATCTCTATATATAATATGTTAAGAATGCATTTTCTCTAAGATATTTATTATTTAAGCAATATAAAACTAGGTTTCATAAGAATTCAATAATCCAATTTCTCTGATAACATGAAATAATTCTTTTCCCTAAATATACTCTGTTAATAAATATATATAATTCTAATCTTTAAATGATCTACGAAATAACACTAAATTTGGATGATTAAGTAATTCTAAAACTTATTTTTCATTTTTAATGTGTCTTTCTGTATTATTAGCAATAATATTGACTTTAGGTACACATTTCATAACATGCATATTTTATTATGGAATATCTTTAACTAAATAAGCATTTCCAAAGGTTCCTTCCCCTAATAACTTTAAACCAATTAAATCTTCTAAAGTAAGTAAGGAATAATTGCTTTTTTGTTTTTTTTCCAAAGAACATGGTGAACCACAAACACGATCCTTATTTTTCTTAACAACAATTTCTAATTCACCTCCTATACATTCAAAAAACTAATTATATGAAAGTTCTGATAATGTAGTTTTTCTAGTAGTTTTGATATCATTATTGATTTTTCTTTATTATTCATCCATTTATAAATATTTATCTCCAAATAATTAACCATTATTATATAATTAACCTTCAAATTCTAATTATCCATCAAGAATGATAATTAATTTATCTACCAATTAATTAATTTTGAATATGTAATCATTACTCTCATAATTTTTAATCTTAAAATTTGAAACAATCTTTTAGATTTACATTTTTGTTAAATCTCTTAATTATGGATGTTTTTCAAATGCCCATTTCTGCATATTAGTGTAAATGATTAACTATGTGACTAAATAATACATATACTGTACCTGAATCTTTTCTCCCAATATAGTTGTAATATCTTCTCTACTCAAAGATAATAAATTAACATCTGAATCATGAGCCTTTACAGTTGCTCCTCTTAAACAATTACCAAATAGAGCTTATTCACCAAAAGAATCTCCTTAATTCATATATCTTAAGAATTTTCCTTCTTTAGTTACTTATACAGTTCCTTTCTAAATGATATAAAATGAATTTGCCATATCACCCTCATTTACTATTGATTCTCCTTACTTAAATTTTAATGTGATTAAGACATTAGCAATACTATCTCTTTATTCTTCTGTCATGAAATCTATAATGACTTAATAATTTTACCAAAAAATTTTACTTAGATCAGAAATTCTCTATTTATTTCATATGCTTTTTATTATATATCCTCAACAGCCCTTCTAAATTTATTCCTTTCTAAAACCCAAAATCCACAATCTCCAATTGCTATTACAGTAGCAGAACGAGGAGCATGATACATTAAAGCTAATTCTCCAAAAAATTCAGATGGTTTTAATACTTTCTTTTTATCTTCATTTATTATTATCTAACATTAGCCTCTTTCTTAATGAATAAATTATCAAATCTACCAATTATGAAAAATAATGTTGCTTTATCACCTTATTTAAATATGAACTCTTAATCTTTACTTGTAACATAATACATTTCATTTATTAATTTTGCTCTGAATTACCATTATCATTACTTATCATTATTATCCAATTAAGCAAACATAAAATGATTGCCAAATGCATTCAAAATCATTTGAAAATCAAAAGGACTTTTCTCTTTTTGTTATTTAATTACATTCTCATGAATTTGTTCCTCAACTACTTCAATTTTAGCTTAACGTTTCCTGTCTCCTCTCCTTGGCTAAAATAATTATTTATATTTTATCTACTTCAACTACTAAATTACTCAAAGATTGATCAGATTTATTCAATTATACAGGTATCATTTAATCTATTGTAATTTCTGTTTATGCTTATTAATTGTTACTTATACAAACTCCCATTTTATAAATAATAATTAAACATTATTTTCATATTTATATAATCAAATCGTATTATCATAACATCTTTATATGCCTTTCAAATTAACTTCCTAGTAATTATTATTTCAATTTTGATTACTTAGGTAGATGATAGAGTTCTATTATTTATTAAAACAAAATTAATTAAAATATCTTAATTTATTTATGATATTTCAATTTATCAAAATACTATTTATATATATACAAAAAAAATTAATTGATATAATATATTCTTAAATATATTCAATCTGATAAGTCAGATACTCTTCTTTAATGTTTCCCTTTTGGTAGTTCCTATTTAGAAATAATATCTTTCATTCTTTCCAAAAACATACCAAATACTTCATGAACTACCTTCTATATATAATTAATATTGCAATCATCATTTTCATCAGTATAAAAATCTCCATAATCTATATAAATTGGTATTTTTTTTGAACTATATACAATATCATCATCTGATTAATTCTTTATAAATTTATATGGTAATCCAATCAAATAAAAGTAAAACATATTATTAACTTTATTACCTTTTTCTACTTTTGATGGTTTTTTTAAATAATGAACTTCATCATTGAAATATAATTAAGCATCAAACGTATTATTACACCCCAATGTACCATTAGATTTACATTCTAAATGATCTTTTACAAAAGATGCCAAGATATCTTCTATTACATATCGTCTACCACATCTTGGACATTTGGCATCTAAATAAAATTTATATTCTGCTTATCTATTACTTAAAGATCCACTACTTAAATTACCAGTTTATTAAGTATTTTTTTAAATATTCTTTTATTTTTTATTATTTTATTGAGTCTAAAAATAATATTAATAAATTTAAATTTATTTCTAATAACCTAATTCTCTCATTTATTATATAAATTATAATGCTAAATCATTCATTTTATAATGAGCACATGCAATCATAGCATTTTTAAAGATATCTGAATCAATATACAAATTATTTTATTTCATTTCTTTTAAGAGATGAATACTATATTTAACTAAATCCATTAGTTCTATTTTACCTTCTTCTATCTTATAAACTAAACATCTAAACCATTATTTATATATGTGAGACAATTCAAACCTTAATATATCAATTTATGTCTTAGGAAACAAATGAACAGAAAATGGATTCTCATGTTTTAAGAATTCTAATCTTGGTTTTGAAAAAAACTAATCATTTAATTTAAGTGGAAATGTACAATATTAAAAATGTTTTTCTTTTTTAAAACCTTCATCATTTGGTTGTAAATAATCTTTAAATATTTATACTGGAAGAGTAAAATGATCTCCCTTTGGATTCTTAAGACAATCATCAAAATACTCTAATTAACTATCATTTTATGAGAGTTACATTCTCTCTTGAATAAAGAAATTAAATAATCTTGTCTCCATAAAAGGTTCCAAAAATTATTTGATTTTTTATTTACTTTTAAGAAATAACTTTTCCTTAAAATTTTATTTATCAATAAATTTCTTATAATCATTTAATAAGAAAATATTAAATCTTAAAAATACTTCTCTTACTTAATATTGATCAATCATTTCTATATCATCTTCTCTAGGCATAGGAAAAGCATCACCAATTGTATCAATTAATTATGGATTGTAATATTTGTCAAATTCCTTTAATTTTAATACAAATTTATCAAAAATATCTTCAGGAACATCAATTGGTTAACTTTGTTTAATATTATTTGAATCCAAAAAGACTTAAATAGCATCTGGATATTTTTCAGCTTATTTTTTATTAATTCCAATTAAGTATGGTAATGGTGCTTCAAGATATTACTCTAAATCTTCAGGTAAACTTGAAATTAAAATATGTGTAAATTCAAATGGATATAAAAGAGTCAATAAAGCTTCAATTACCAATGAACTAATTACAGGTTTGGAACTTATAAGTTGAATTTTCTTTTCATAAAGTAATGCAAAATACAACAACACAATATTCTTTTTATTTAACATTGCAAATAGACATTAAAAAGCTTAATTTGAACACAATGGAAAACAGTTTGATTAATAGAAGAATATCTATTTAGATCCATTATAAATATAAGTTTCAGTTGGATCTTAGGGAAGAACAATTTCATCAACTATATTACAAATATACCTTTCTAAAGGCAAAACATTTTTAGCTATATAAATTTAATATAAATTTTTAAGCAATTCTAATGATTATTCTGAATAACAATAATGGGATGATAACACAATAGCCATTTCATGAAATCCTTACAAATTTTATTCACAAAATATTAATGCAGTACAATAAGTACGTTCTCCAGTTTCTGAAGTCAAAATATAATGATTATATTTAGGAAATTAGTTATTTCTATAAAGGGATATGCCATTTGGAAAACAAAACATTGCCACCTCTGGTTTATCATTATTTTAAGGGTATGAATCTGTTATTTCATATTAATATTTGACTGAGTGATATGTATTAGCCAATGAATAAGCTAAATAATTATTCTATATAGATTAGGGTAATTTATAAAATCCTTCTGGAGTTACTTGATTCTTCTATATTAATATTAAATCACTCCAAGGATCTTACATTGGATCAGTTTTATAACAGAGTATTAAAGCTGTCTTATGATTAGATTAATATCCAAAGACTTTAGAGAGATCATAAGTAAAATCTAAATTTCCATTTTAATAATGCCATTTAGAATCATCTTCTTGAATAGTACATATATTAAGATCATTATTCAATTTTAACTTTTATTCATGTACATCTAAATAATAGAATGATAAATCTGTGATTGGAGGTTTTGTAGAATCTTTCTCGATTTTCAGAAGCATTTAATCATTTATTCTTAAATGATGTGTTTTCTTTTTACATTCATGTGTTCCTACAATAACAATTATATTAGTTATGTATTCTTTATCTATTTATATTTATTCTAATTGCTAAGTTAAATCTAAAGGTGCTATTATTGAGAACTAATTGTAGATGCGTTGATAAAGAATATTCATTAAATATATTTTATTAGTTGCGTTGTTAAAATAATAGTGGTTGGCTTGATATGAGCCTTAATTAAACAAACTAATAACAAAAGTCATTCTAATTGTCGCAGTTCTTCCACAAGTTATATATCCAAACTATCTACACTAGCCAGTGATTCGAATCTTTTCCTGGTAAATTAAGTTAAGGTTTCAATCTTATTAATTTATTGATGCTCTGTCTTTAAAATGGATAATCTCTCTTTTAATTTCATAATTTTTGTTCTTCTGCATTTTTTCAAGGATGCTTAAAGTTCAGCATTATTTCTTTCTTTCTTAAATTTACGCTAGAGGAATAATTAAATAAAATAAAATACTTTTAATTGAGTTCTAGTTCTGTCATTGAACAAATAATTGATCATATAAAAATCAGTTCCAAATAATTAAAGACTTCTAAAAAATTTTTTAGTGTCTTCTTAACTCCAATTCTTAAATTTATTAATCTTATCCTTCTTGACTGTCTTTTGGTTCTGCCGCTGTTTCTATTTAGTTAATTATGATAATTATTATTAGATAATAAGGTCTGTTGTACTTTAATCTTAAAATGTAATCTGTGATAAAGAATCACTTTTTATTTCTTTCATTTTTAAGATTTAATTATTAAAAAATGATTTTGAATATATATATATATATTATCATTCAGGCAACATAACCTTGTCATCTTCAACCTAAAATTTTTCATCTACTACATTCTCTTAATTAATATTGATATTATCCATTTCTAATTCTTCATAATCCCTATTACTGACTATTATATTTTGATCATGAGTAGTCTATTCTATTAATCCCTATTTACTGGGACTCCATAAATATTATTGATAATAGACATATAAATTTAATATGCTAATAGAAATAAGTACTTCTGTTCCAGTTAGATTATAGATTTCAAAAGATCCAGATAATATAAATAATCCTAAACACATCATGAAAAATATATTAAATAATCCAATCAACTTATATCTCCATATTCTATTTTCATAACATTTACAAAATTGAATCAAATATTTTAGTAAATATACAAAAATAGCAAAGGAAAATAAAAATGAGAGTACCTTAAATGCCATATAAGCTCTGTGATGTAAATCATCAAAACTAGTAGTTGGATCCTTAAAATATTAAATTACTAAAATTGAATAAGAAACAACAAAAAAAAGCCATAAAAGAATGCATACTATAACCTTAGGTTTAGTAAGTGATGCACTCACTTTAATTCCATTTTCTACTACAATTCTATGATAAAGTACTAACCAATAAAGAAAGAGACAACAAATGAAATTACTGAAGAATATAACTCCAATTACAGCAGTGATTCTATTTGGAGCTAATAAAGTAGCTGCATAAAGAGGATCATTAAACCAAGGTAAAAGAAAGCTCAAAACTACAACAAACTTTTATTCAATGACCCAATTTGAAATAGTTAATTATTTAATTCTAAATCCAAAAAGTACAAGAGTTATTAATGAAAATGCAAAAAAAGTATATCTTACTGCTAAAACTGAATTTGAATATCTTGGATCAACAGTTATTGCTTATAAAGATAATTTGACTTGATTTGTTTGATTTGGAATCATAAATTATTAATAATTTATAACAAAGAGGTAATCTTTATAATCTAGTATTGGAATGTATACTAAAACATTCCAATCACAAATTTAAGGATCATAATTTCCTTATTCATCATAATAATCATTTTAAGGAGGAGGAGGATTATGATTATGATTACCATCTCTTTATAATAATCTATTTCCATTAGTTTAATCATGATCTTCATGTTCTTCATTATCTTCATTATCTTCATCTGATAATTCATTAAAATTCTTTTAACAATTAGATGTTATTGAATGATTTTTACTTACTATTAAATGTTCAGTTAGATTTCCTGTTTCTTTTTATTCTTTTGTTAATCCAAATAATGTTGCTGTATAATTTATATAGGATATTTAATATCCTTAAGGTATATAAAAACTAAATTATCCATAAATAATTAAAAATTGATTTTTTTCATCTAATTTTCTAATAATTGTATAATTAGCTCCACTTTTATTACAGCTATTAGAATCAATTAAAAATTTACAATAATTATTTGTTCTCTTCAAACCAAGATCCTTATCCAAAAGGATCTTCATCATTTTAGTAACAAGGATTCTCCATTTATGCATATTTAGTTGAGTCTGGCATAAATACAGATGTCAATACAAAAATAGTAACTAAAACAAAAAATAAACACCAATGAATGCACACATGTTTTTTTGTCTCTATATCAGCATTAACCTTAATCAATATTAATTGATTTTCCTATTAAACTGGTTAGCCAGTAATCATAGGCACATTTTATAGATTAGGAATATTATTTTCTTACACTTCCATTTTATTTAATAAATATTTAAATATTGTTCATATAGTCATACTAATCTGCTTTTTCTCATAAATTTGATTTTTTATCTTCTCTACATCTTACTATTTTATTGTTCAATCAATTAATGATAGAATTTAAGAAACTTTTACTATTCTAATCTAATATCCAATTCAACTGATTGATCATAATAAAAATTTTAAAACATAGTTGTTCCTTAAACATTTCTATCAAGTAATCTCCTAATTAGATCTAAATCACCATCTTTATATTCTTTTAATAAAGCTGGTGGTTTAAATATATCTGGTTAAAATGGAGGAGTTACCTTTCTATAAAGGAATTTTATTAAATCAACATTTTCAAACCATTTATGATCTAATATTTCTAATAAACCTCCTTAATGTCCAATTCTACTCTTTTAATCTTTATCTAATAATCTAACAATTAAATCCTTAATTTCATTACTCAAAGTATTATTTTTTGGAAATTCAACTTCCTTTAAAATTATATTTTCATATATTTTATTTATATCTTCTGAATAAAAAGGTGGTTAACCAACCACTAATTCATATAATAGAACACCTAAACAATAATGGTCCAATTATTAATTATGTCCTTAATTAGTTAACATTTCTGGAGCCATATATTCAGGACTTCCACAAAAACTATAAGCATATTCATTTCTTGTTGGTTTAGCAAGACCAAAGTCTGCAATTTGAATATGACCTGTAATATCTATTAATATATTTTCTGGTTTTATATCTCTATAAATAATATCCAACTAATGTAAATATATTAAACCCAATATGAATTCTACTATATAGAATCTTGCTTGAGTTTCTGTAAATACATGATATTTTTATAAGTAATAGAGCAAATCACCTCCTGCACAAAATTCAGTAATAAATATCAAATGATTAGGACATTCAAGAGCATATTCTAATTTATTCAGAAAAGGATGTTGAGTCACAGCTAAGATATTGCGTTCATTCTCAATTATATCTATATAATGTATTATGTACTTTCAATCTTTTTCTCAATAATTATTTTCTTATCTATTATTTTCATTGCATAGAATCGACTAGACTATTTCTTTTTAACCAAATAAACCCTTGAAAATCCACCTACTCCTATACATTTTATAAATATAAAGTCTCTTAATCCTGTTTTAGATTTTAATGCTAATAATCCTGGTACTCCTTAAACGGTTATGATACGTCCTTGGAATACACTTAATTTTTAATTTTGTAATTGTAAATAATAATCGATGGCTAAATTGGAGTTGGTTGTTACTAATGCACTTATTGTTGGAACTATCTTACGAGCTTACTATAACAATTAATCAGTAGTTGCTCTAATCTTAAATTAAATTATTATACTCATAAGCAAATAAGAAATTATGAAGCTTTTCTTCATGTTAGAAGACTATCTGAATAGTAGATTTATTTTGTAACTCATCCATCTAGCTTTCTGATGTTTTTTAGATTGCTTTTGGGGAAATACTTTATTCTTCCTTATTAAATATAATTTAAACATGTTTTTATTCTTAAAGAGAAATTACTATGATTAGATGATTTGTCTAGTTTCTTCATTGAAGGACTCTATTAAAATCTTTTCTTTGAAGTATTTCTATAATTCACTATTGTTTGAAGCGCTTTTGTTTTTTTTTAAATCATTCAATTAATTATATTTTATAATCATTTTTATTCTTATATAACCAGTATATTTTACAATACCAACTATTATACCTCTACAATTTATAATCTATAGATTGAATTTTATATGTTAAATTCTTTTGATTTAATTTACAAAAAATTACTGTTCAATTATAATATAAATATAAAAACAAAATCATATGATTATATTTAAAATCTTATATTGACATATTCATTATTACTTCAAAAGTATATTCTGTCAGAATTATTTATTAAATTTTATATTTTTTATTAATATGCTAGAATTGATTATCATCATCTTAGTTAATAATTCAAATTAAATCCTTTTAATATATTCTATTGAATCATTTCTTTTTTTGTTCTCTAATATTTTCTATGAAATTTAATTCTAATATGAATGACATTAACTTCTGATTTTTAAAAATTCTTTTCATTTCTCTAATTCTTTACTATTGTGAAAATAAAAGACAAAAAGGATTTAAGGGAATTTCATTATCAATAATTTAATGTAAATTAAAAAAATTTAAGAAATCAATTGCTAATGTTGTGTATATAGAAACAATATAAGAATATTAGTCAAAGGGGAAAAAGGTTTACTCAGAAAAGTTGTTATTTCCTTATATGAAAGATATCCAGCTTAAGCTGCACCAATCATCAAACAACCTATTAAACTCAAATAACCTACTTTAGAATAGATGTTTTCCCGCCAAAAATAGGCAAAAGAAGAAACTAAAGAGGTTATTGAGAAAAAACCGCTTGAAATGGAGGTTTATATAAAAGTCTATTGCAATGGAGAGGAATTACTTTGCTTCAACTTAGATGAAAGCATAAATTTATCTAAATCTGAAGTGAGATAATAAACACTCAATTTATAATTTGCAGATAAAATTCTATCTCTTTATGAGTGTCCTAATGAAATACTAGAATAATTTAGATCTGTATTGATTTGTATCTATAGATTACATTATCCTTAGAATTATAAAATGATAAAAAATAATTAATGAATCACAGAAAGAAAATTTAAAATATCTAAACATAAGAGATATAGCAATAAGAACCTGAAATTCCACCAAGAGATACATAAGAAAAAAGAGAATTAAATGAAATCTAAAAGCTTAAATTACAAAGGAGATTACTAGCTTCTCAATAATAATAATAATAGTAATAATAATAATAAAGTGAATAAATCTAAAAGTAAATAATAAAGACTAAATCATCAGAACCTGTTAATACAATTAAATAATTAAATATTAAATTCTAACTACCTTTATTCATTTGGACTTAGATATTATGTTATATAGATACTAGATAATTATTAAGATTAAGATTGACAAATAAATAGTTTGAATAATCAATCAATAATATAGTTAATAAATTATCATATAAACATGTAGGTGAGATTCCATATGAAACTTTATGTCGTTCACTTACAAAATTTTCAAAGTTAAAACATATAATTTTTGGATCTCTAAAGTTTATTAAACCTACTCAATTATAAGATATTAGAATAAGTTCTATCCCACATCTATTAAGTTTAGACTTTAAAGATTATCATGTTTTGACTGATAAATTATGCTCCAAATTTATTTTGCAATGTGTCAATTTAAAAACCTTAGTATTACCTTATAACTCTAAAATTACTAGTGATACTATTACTTTAATTTCTTAAAAACTCACAAATCTCGAAAAACTAAAACTAGTAGAAAAAGATAAAGGTTAATTAAATGAAGAAATTGCTTTTACATCATTTTTATCAATCTTTTAATTAAAATAACTTTAATACATTAGAATTCCCTTTTTATAAGTAGAATTTTTTATGAAATATTCTTAATTAAATGAAACTAATCCATTTAATTCTATAAAATAGAAAATTAAATTTGGTACAATAATATTTTCTATTTTAAATTCAAATTAAATATCCTAATTTCTAAATTTTTTATAAATTAATAATGAGATCAATAAGTTAAGTATTGGGGAATTATAAATGAAAAATTAAAGTGCTTTGAAATATACTGTTTTATTTGATGAAAGAATCTTTTAACAACTAAATGGTAATTAAATATTTTATTGAAAGGGATATTAAAATTCAGTTTTGGTGGATTAGTTGATGATGAATTCTGCAGATAACTTTGTACCCATAATCCAGAAATTAAATAACTTAAAATAAGATCAAAAATGATTACAGATGATGGTTTGAAAGTAAATTATTTATTAATTCTATTCTAGAATATCTTTTTAAAATGCAAATCAATCGAAAAAATTGATGTAGCTTTTTGTTCTATGATTTGTGGTTCAGGATTTGAATATTTGACTGATAAATCTCTAACTCTAGAGTATCCTAAAATTTAAATAGCTGTAAATCTAGATGATTATAATATGTAATGTTTAGAAGAATTATTACAAAGAAAAGCTTATGATTGCAAACCTACTCTCAGAAAAAAGTTAAAGAAGTTATGATTTTTTATATATAATATTTTGGATTTATAATTTAATGTTACATGTATATAAAATTGATAATCTTAATATTAGATTTAATTAATAAGGTAAATACAGTTATATTTTGATGTCACTATTTAGGTAAAGTAATATTAATAATCTCTTTATAGATATATAAAGTAAAAGGTAGAAGAAGTACATTAAGAGTAGGAGGTATTTGATAGATAGGAAGATCTCTTATAAATTTTAGCTAATGCTAATTAGATTATTATTGATTTTGACTCATCATCAATATTTAAGAAACTCTTAGATATGCTCAAGAAGGAGTAAATAAAGATTGTGTGGCATATCTCTAATTATAAACTTGGAATCATTTTTAGAATAAAAAGAAGCTTAAATAAAAAAACAGTAAGATAATCTTTAAGTGATTATAAAATAAGTAGAAAGTCTTATGAATTATCTCCATTTATGAATTATCATCAATTCAAATATGAATTTACTATAAATTGTACTTTTCTTCTTAATTAAAATATAATTTTTATCATTATGAATTTTTAATTGAATAAATAATTAAATTTCGTCATTTATGATCATTTTTATCAAAAATTCTACTCATTAATAATAATCTTTAATTATATTGCTTGATATCATTTCTTTTGATTATTCATCAGGATTTAGAAGCCGATTTGATATTAAGGAATAAACAAACTTTATTTATTATTTAATACATGATAAAAAAGCTTTTTGGTATTTCAAAATGGAAATTCATAGCTGGAGCTTCATTTGCACTAATTGGTCAACATATATATGATTGTTTATATAATACAGAAATTGAAGTCTTCTATTAGAACACAGCTAATAATAAGGATATTCTTTCAAAATGCCCAAATATTACAGTAATGAAAAATAAAAAAGATAGGGACATTTTAATCCAAGCATTTGGAGTATGAATAATATCTTTGGTTTATTCTACGTGACTTTAGTCGAACATCAAATGGTACCCTTACAAAAACGAGAAATAGTGACTTTGAAAGATGGAGGTTAAGTAGCATTGGATTGGAAAATCAATGATCCCAAGAATATTGTGTTAGTCTTACATGGATTGACAGGTGGGGGGGATTGCAATTATATAAAAGATACATTAGAAAGACTCTATGATGCTGGTTATACTGCTGTATGTTTTAATAATAGAGGAGTCGGATTTACAAAATTATCTGTATTATTTAAACTAATAAGACACCTTAATACCATAATCATGGAGATCCATCTGATTTGATGGAAATTATTGATTTAATAAAGCAAAGGTATCCTGAAGCATCATTATAGTGTGTGGCCATTTCAATAGGGGCAAATTTGGCAGCCAAATATGCAGGTATCATGAAAGAGAAATGTGCATTCAAATCTATTGTTTGTATAGCCAATCCATTTGATTTATTGGTGTATTCTATTTTCTATTTATTTAGGCTTGTTTTGAAAATTTGGATAGATGGTACAATTATTTATATATCTACTATCTTACTAAACATTTCAAATGGTTGTTGAATAAACATTTAGATGTAATGAATGCATGCTTTGATGAACATAATATTGATATTAAAAAAGTATTTGATGCAAAAACCATTTATGAATTTGATCATTATTTTACAAGACATTTGTAAAAATATGAATCAGTTGAATAGATGTATAGGGTAACGCTCTTTAATAAATTAAGGCAAATTCTTCAATACAATATATTAAAGATATTACAGTTCCCACTTTATTTGTTAATACTAAAAATGATCCATTAATACCATGGAAATTTGCCCCCATTTAATTACATAGACATATGCCAAATTTAATATTTGCCTTAACTTAAAAAGGTGGCCATATTGAATGGTTTAGTGAAACTAACTTAGTTACTGTTAAGAGAGTAAGGATATTATTATTTAATTAATAGTGGATTATGGATCCAACTTTAGACTACTTAAATTATTTCAGGGACCTACCAAATGATAAATGGTAACAATATATAAAACAATCAAAAATTTGATGTGAATAAATTTATAAGTTATATAATTAATTTTACAATCAATTTAAGAAATCTTTGAACTTTTATTGCATTTAACATTTCCTTCCCTGCTATAAAAACCCATATTAATTTGAATCAAAAGAATTGTTAAATCCAATTTAGGTCTTATTGAATCTTTAAGCTATATGAGAATCCATTCTACTATAATTCTGTTGCGGATTCATTTTTTTTCTCAATTAATTGAGTTCTAAGGATTCTTATACATACAATGAAAATATATTTCTATGAGCTGCAAACCTAATATTATAATTATACTTTTAGGTTTCCTTCTAAATTTCCTTTAAACAGATTAGCACTTTTCTCCAGTTGACAGCATTTGGCCTCCAACTATCTTTAATAACTAATCATCGCTGTTTAATTATGAATCCTCAGTGCAATGCTTTATAAAAAATAAAGAGTTACATTAAATGGATCGTGTTTAGCTGAATATAAGTTAACAGATCGATTTTGCCTTGCTCTCATTAATTTTTGTTATAATTTTATTCTCTCACTTGGTTTTGCATAGGCTGATAATTATGGACTTACTAGTGGAATATAATTATCTCTATCAGATGGCACCATTTTATTTACAGATACATATCTAAACTATTTTTTTAAATCCCTTTTTTCTCTTTACTCATAATCACTATTTGAACTTGTTTTTGGAATCTAATAATTAAAACTTTTATCAAACATAATAATAATAAAATTTAATTTTAGTAATTCTAATTCGAATAGTTTTAGAAGCCTTTAATTTAAGAGTGGATATTAAGGCTCCCTAAAGATTTACCCTTTATTATAAATATTTTAATGAAATTAATAAATATTCTTAACTAAATCTTTTTTTTAATAAAAAATAAATGAAAAAATCTTTTTGTTTTATATTTGTTTCGATTTAAGAAAAACTAGAGAGCATAGAATAATTAGAATAGGTTTAATCTCATAAATTAGCAAATAAAAAAAGTTGCGTCTATCGGGACTCGAACCCGACCTAAATGCTTGGAAGGCATTCGTACGAACCTCTATACTATAGACGCTGGCTTATAAAATTTATAATCCTTTTGATTTTATAATTATGTAGCAGAGTCTACAATTATAAATTATTAGGTAGTATATATATATAGAATCTTTTTAATTAAAAAAGTACTTTCATGGTTCCTTAATAAATTTAAGTTTAATTTCTGATCAGCATTGATTTGAATAAATAAGACTGGGGTTGATCTTATAAATTAGCAAATAAAAAAAAGTTGCGTCTATCGGGACTCGAACCCGACCTAAATGCTTGGAAGGCATTCGTACGAACCTCTATACTATAGACGCTAGCTTATAAAATTTATAATCCTTTTGATTTTATACTTAATGAGAGAAAGAACACAACAAATGAATAAGTACAAGGCACTAATAAAGTAAAAATAATTGATAAAGATATCAAAGCTTTTAATTAAACTTATAATAGAGGAATAACTTATAAAATGTATTATCTTTTTGATTCTACAAATGATTAGAGGAAAAGTAATTATTAGTGATTTAATCTTAAAAAAAAAATAAAAATTGCGCCTATCGGGACTCGAACCCGACCTTAATGCTTGGAAGGAAATCGTGCTGACCCCTACACCATAGACGCATTTTAAATAAAATGATTGTAAAATAGTTTAGCAGAAAATTTGAAGTAAAATAAATTTGATATATTTTGTTTAATAATGCTTTATAATGTATTTTTATGAATATAAATATTTGTTTTTATAAAAATAAATATAAATTAAACTAAAGATTTTATTATTGTAATATACACTATATCATTTAGGTACAATTATTTCTTCTTCTTCAAATTCTTCCCCATCTTCTTTATGATTATTGACAAAATTCATAAGTTTCTTTTAATCATTAGAATTTAATGAGACTAAATATAGGGATGCTACATACCTGGCCTATTCTGATCTTCAATATATAAATATATGGCTATAATTAAAGAAACAGAAGCAAGTATTAAAAAGAATAAGACTACTGATACTTAAGAAGATGCTTCAGCTGAAATGAAAGCTATAAATAATGGCATCACAAAAAAAGCAAAATTTTGAACAGAATTCATTACACCAAATGCTGTGCCCCTTTATATAATAAAATATTACTAATTATTTCTATTTAACAACAAAGGCAATACTTGTCCATATTGTACTAGCAAAAAGAGCATATGATAATCCCAAAGTGAGCATGCAAAATATGGGATAAAATAATAGCATCAAAACTAATCCTAAAAATACTAAAGCACATCCAATTGCTAAAAATTTAATTCTTTAGCCAACTTTATCTACCATCAATCCAACAAATGGACTGAGGAATGTACAACATAAATAAGGAATTCCCATTAATTCACCAGCTACTTCTTAATTTTATTCTACAGGTGCATCTGCAGGCAACCATAAATCAATTATAATGCCACTTGAAAAGGAAATAAAAATTAAGACTGAGGTATAAAAAGTGGTCATTATGAAAGTCAAGATCCAAAAAATCTAAAAATTGATTCATTTGTGTATTTTACTTTTGGGAACATTCTAATATCTTCTAGTATTTATTTTACAAGTTCTCCAAAATCCATAACTTAAATACTATTATCCAATAATCCTTCAGTTTTTTATAGATTTCTTTTTTATAAGATTTCTGTATAAGAATCAATAAAATTCATAACTAAAAGTGCAGCACCAGAAATCAAAGTAATACCAAAACCAACTCCAAAAGCTGTTGTCATACCAGATTTTTCAGCAATTCTTGGGGAAATATAAGTTCCCAACACTGTAGCACTTCTTATTATACTCAAATTTAATGCCTCTTATTAGTAAATATAGTTTACATTAGCAAATGACAATTCTTTTCCAAAAAACCATTTATTTATGATAATTGAACTTGCTACACAAAGAGATTCACCACCCAATCCAAACATAAATCTACCCAAAATCATATATTTAAGGTTTGCAACTGAACTTCCAAAATATAAAAATCCTTAACCTAAAATTACAAAGAACATGAATATCAATGACATTTTTCTATAACCTAAATTGATATCAATATTATATTTTACCAAATACATCACTCATAAATCCACCAACTAAAGGCAATATTATATTTGGAATGGAATAAAATGAATACATAAAACTGAAATAGAAACTTGTTAAATGTTCTCCATATATTGGACTATAGGTCTACATTATTTGTTCTTTTAATAATGCAGGTTAATCAAATATAAACATATTTCCATACTATAGTATTTAACATATTATTTACTAATGCTATACATGCAAGCAATAAAATTATGTATCTGAGAAAACCTGAACTTAATTGGTCTTACCTTTTTTTCATATTTTAATAATAAAAACGAATAAATCAGAATCAATCAAAACAAAATTTGTAAGTTAAAAATTTCTAAATTAGCATGTAAAGTAATCTTAGCGAAATAAAAAAATATTAACAATAGAGAGAGGAAAGATTTCATTAAAGTTTGTTTAAAGATCAAATCTAAAATATTGATTCAACTATTCAAGATGATTCGAATAATCCTGATTTTGTTAAGGTTATTGTTATTTGTACTTTCACTAATGAAGTAACAATTTAAATTAATTTAATAGACAATTGCAACTAAAGAAAAAATAATATGCTCTGATAATGATGTTTAAATTATAGAAAAGGATGACGTAGTTGGTAAAGAATCAAAATTAAAAAAATAGAATAATAAGACCTTTCTGAATGTGCAAAAAAAGAAATTGTAACATATATAGAAAGGTCATTTATTGAATGTTGTAAATTGCTAAAGTCCAATTATATTGAGAAATTTGATGTGATAAAAGTATAATTCAATTATAAAGAATTTAGTTACCCATCTGTTCAGCTAATGGAATACGCATTCCAAATGAATATGATATTAGATAATTTATTAAATTGTCTAAAATCAAAAATAATAATGAAGAATTCAATAAATCACTTGGCTCTATGGATACTAAACATTTATTTGGTTTACTTATAAGTAGTCTAATATTCTAAGTATTGATTTCATTTATTATTTTGAGGATAGTCAAATTGAAGAAGCCCTTTTTGAATTACTATTTTAAAACATCAATTTGGAAAATGCTATTAAATTGTTACTTATCACTGTATAATATGAATCAAAAAAATAACATTATTTTTTTAAGTATCATTTGTATTAATCATATAGACTTATTAAGCATTTATATTATTTTAGTAAAGGGTTATTGAAGGAAACCTATGATAATTATTTACAAAAAATAGTTTAAAATGGAATGAAACCAAAACAATTGTAAGTTGAAAAACCCAATTTTATAAAATTAATAACTTAATTGCACATTTTTAAAATTAACTCAACTATCCTTTATCCTCTTTTTAAATAATAAGAATCATATCTATTTTAATATTATAAACCCATTATTGAAAAGAAATCATTTACTGTACATAGAAATTTGGATTGTCCAGAGGGAAGAGAGTAATCAGATTTTCCTCATATTTACTATCTTAAAAATAATGAAAATTAAACTATTTTAGTAGCAGTTTAATATGAGATTTCTGGAGATATTCTTATTTTCTAAGAATACCAAGAAAAATTCATAAAATATAATGATAATTACTTAGGACTCATTGAATTTAAGAATTAAGGCAAAGAATTTATTGTTTTTGATGATGGTTATCCAGAATACATGGAAAATAGTTTTCCTTAATGGATTGGAAGGAAAAAAAGAAGAATGTTAGTTTTTGATTATTTTTCAGATAAAAGATATGATAAACCAAGATTATTTGAAGTGAAATGCTACAACATCAATACAAATTAATATGATGGTAATAAATTTAGTTTAATTGTTTATTAGAGATCATTACTTAAGAACCACACTATGATGACTAGAAGGGTTCTTTTATATTGAAATTAAAAGATATTGCATTAATTCCATCAACCAGAAATTTCGTATTACATAAAAAGGGAGATAATCTCAAAGAATAGCAAATCTATCTATGTCATGGAAAATAAAATAGACATACATTTCACTTAGAATTACATGAAGGAATTAGTGTATTTTAAGGATTCTGTATTTCTGTTGTATCAATTTGTTCAAAGGGCCTTCGTTAATGAATACATAATAATTTGTATTTTAATTTAAAGGAATGTTATAGCACTCTGAATCAGATGATCATTCTCCTGTTCATGTAATCTAGTTTTAAGATAAGAATACTGAAATTGAGTCTGAAGCATTATGGGATAAGGAAGATGCTTAGCAAGAATATCATATTCAAATTAACTCAGATCGAATTTTAGATATTTTTTAATCAATTGAAACATAAATTCATCCATTTAATTGTGTTTACAAAACAAATCAATAAATGATAGTGATGTATAAACAGAAATTGTCAACATTAAAAAAATTAGGATATTTGATTTGTAAAAGTGAAACTAAATATTGCATTATTCTTATAAAATTAGAGAATCATAATTCATTATTGATAAAGTCTTTAAAAGGAGTATATAATTATATTTAAAAAGGACTCTGAACTAAATGATAGTATGATGAAAAAGATAGGAAATGCAATTTATCAATTTTCAGATAAAAATTAACATCTTTCACATATAGATGAGATTATGTAAGTATAAATTTATATTAGACATGAAGATTCAAGATTCAATCCTTTCCATTTAAATAGTTTAAGTGTTGCCATGATTTATAAATATCTTTAAGATAAAATAGAGATCCCTGAGTAAATAACAATGAAATAAATATCTAATTTAATAGAAAAGGAGCATGATAATATTAAAAAAGAACCATTATTAATTAAATAATAATAAGTTAGTTAATTTCATATATTTACCATTGAGAGATTTATATTCAATAAAATATTTGATTAGATGATGAATTATTATATAGAAAAATATCAAGAAAGATAAAATTAAGTAGATCTAAAAAAGAAGCAATTAAAAGAAAAATATTCTAAAGAAGATTTAATAAAATCATTGGAAATTAAAAATCAATATTTACCTAATTCAGATATACCATATTTTGAAGCAATAAATGAATTAAAATTAATTAATCTCTACAAAACTCCTACCGAAATGTTGAAATAATTTTAATATGTCCTAGTATTAATTAGAGGAGTTGCTTTTGAATGTAATCAAAAGGAAGAAATAATTGCTATGGATGATGAATTACCAATTTTAATTTGGGTAGCTTTAATAAGTGATGTTCCTAATCTTTATGCAAAAATATAGTTTGTTGATGATTATATATAGGAAATTGAAAATGAAAAGAGAATCTTAACTAATTTAAGAGTATCTTTAGATTATATTTCTAAAGAATGGAAATTATGAAATAATTTATAAATTATCTTACAATTAGTTAATTGATCTTTAATCATTTTTCATTTTATTGATATTTTATTAGCTCTCTTAATTATAATTCTTTTTATTTACATATTTCATTATTATGATAATGCTTTCATTATTTACTACTGATAAGACTTCTACTTTTACTAATAATATATTTGTTGTATTAAAGTTTGAATTATATCATGAACATTTATTAACAAAATTAATCAGCACTTAAAACTGCTTTTATATTATAAGCTATTTTAACTGAATAAAAGATTATCTTTTTAAAGTAATCCTTAAATAAGGCCTAAAGAGATGTAATATTATATTTAATAAAATCTAGTTAAATGAATTGAGATTTCAACAAAATCATTTGTAGTCTAAAGGAGAGGATTTGATTTCAAATCATCAAAAAAATCAAAGGAAACTTTTGAAATAAGTAGATGAATTACAATAATTGATAACAAAACTTAATCTTAAATAAGATTAGATTAATTAATTACAGCTTTCAAATATGATATTTGGAATGATCAAATTGAAAGGTANAAATTTATATTAGACATGAAGATTCAAGATTCAATCCTTTCCATTTAAATAGTTTAAGTGTTGCCATGATTTATAAATATCTTTAAGATAAAATAGAGATCCCTGAGTAAATAACAATGAAATAAATATCTAATTTAATAGAAAAGGAGCATGATAATATTAAAAAAGAACCATTATTAATTAAATAATAATAAGTTAGTTAATTTCATATATTTACCATTGAGAGATTTATATTCAATAAAATATTTGATTAGATGATGAATTATTATATAGAAAAATATCAAGAAAGATAAAATTAAGTAGATCTAAAAAAGAAGCAATTAAAAGAAAAATATTCTAAAGAAGATTTAATAAAATCATTGGAAATTAAAAATCAATATTTACCTAATTCAGATATACCATATTTTGAAGCAATAAATGAATTAAAATTAATTAATCTCTACAAAACTCCTACCGAAATGTTGAAATAATTTTAATATGTCCTAGTATTAATTAGAGGAGTTGCTTTTGAATGTAATCAAAAGGAAGAAATAATTGCTATGGATGATGAATTACCAATTTTAATTTGGGTAGCTTTAATAAGTGATGTTCCTAATCTTTATGCAAAAATATAGTTTGTTGATGATTATATATAGGAAATTGAAAATGAAAAGAGAATCTTAACTAATTTAAGAGTATCTTTAGATTATATTTCTAAAGAATGGAAATTATGAAATAATTTATAAATTATCTTACAATTAGTTAATTGATCTTTAATCATTTTTCATTTTATTGATATTTTATTAGCTCTCTTAATTATAATTCTTTTTATTTACATATTTCATTATTATGATAATGCTTTCATTATTTACTACTGATAAGACTTCTACTTTTACTAATAATATATTTGTTGTATTAAAGTTTGAATTATATCATGAACATTTATTAACAAAATTAATCAGCACTTAAAACTGCTTTTATATTATAAGCTATTTTAACTGAATAAAAGATTATCTTTTTAAAGTAATCCTTAAATAAGGCCTAAAGAGATGTAATATTATATTTAATAAAATCTAGTTAAATGAATTGAGATTTCAACAAAATCATTTGTAGTCTAAAGGAGAGGATTTGATTTCAAATCATCAAAAAAATCAAAGGAAACTTTTGAAATAAGTAGATGAATTACAATAATTGATAACAAAACTTAATCTTAAATAAGATTAGATTAATTAATTACAGCTTTCAAATATGATATTTGGAATGATCAAATTGAAAGGTACTATTGAAATATTTCAAAAGTAAAATAAATAATAAATAGAATTAGATTACCCTCAATAAATTTCAGTTTTTGTATCATAAATAATTTAATATTAGAATAGTTTTTATAGTTGATTGAATAATTATTAAGCACTAAATCAAATATAGCACTAATATATAATTAAGATGTTGATAAGGATGAAATATTTTTATAAATGGAACTTAAATAACTTATCCAAGAAATTCATACTTAAGATTTAATATAATTAAGAAAACTGAGTTTAAATTATTAATCATATTGTCACCAAATAAAAGTTTTATAAGAATAAAAATCAACAACAATAATCTATAAAAATATTCAAGGTATTTAAAAGATCTCTTATTAAAAAATTACTACGAGAAGTTAATAATTACATACCAAAATAAATTAATATATTTTAATAATTGTAAATTTGTTAAATATAATAAAAAAATTAAATGCATAGAGTTTTATAATGTGAATAGAATTGAAAGTGATCTAAGTTTAAAGGACTCAGCATTAAATATAAAGTAAATAGTTGGAATAATACAATAAATAGTTAAAGGTGTTATTAAATAAAATAAATAATTGATATTATTTAGACTTCACATTTTATGGATTATATTAATTACTTTAGAAGAACCAGAAATTAGTAATTCTAATTGGTAAATAAGAAGAGTTAATTTAATTCTTGAACATCTTAAAATGAATGAATAAATTATATAATTTTCTTAAAATTTAATGTTATTTTCTTAGCGTTAATCAACATAATTTGAGGAATTAGAATCGTTAATGATGAAGAGAACACCTCAAATACCTTCACGTTCTCGAAATTTATCCAGTGATCGATAATAAAATAATGAGAGATCAATTAAACTATCTATAGAGAACAGTAGACAAAGACATTAAGTTTAATCCTATTCTGTAGAAAAATCAGTAAACAACTTCAAATTAATTTCAATAGTTAAATTTGAGTTCCTAGAATTAAAAAGTTGAAAATTTGGTAGCTTCATGGATGCAATAAAAAAATTTATCATCCCTTAATTCAAGTTCAAATAATGTTTAGCCAAATAATCTGTTATAAAATAATATAGTCTCATAATTTGAAAGTTAAGGGAGATAATCAAATAGGCCACATATTATAATAGAAGAAGATCTTTTATTCACAGAAGAAGGAGATTAATAAAATGCAATTCAATCTAATAAAGTCAATTAGAATAAAAATAAAACACCTAGTACTACACGTCCTCATGCCAAGAGTATAAAAGAATAATGTATTCTATTTACTTATGAAGAAAGCTTTGATGTCAAAAAAAATGCTATAGAAAGAAATGTTCTTAAAAAAAATCTCAATTCATATGCTCAACGTCCTCAAACTACAAAAATGCACACTTCCACCTAAGTAAAATCTTCGCCTATTGTATACAAAGAACAATCACTTCACAATCCAATGAAATCATCACATATTGATTCAACTAAAATTAGTAATCTAAATAGTGGATCAAATAGTTATTCCAACAATATTAATAATAGAAATAAATAAAACAATTAGCAAAAAATTGTTAAGAAAATCCAAAATTCAGAATTTTAATTAGATAATTAATGTATTATTGATTTGATTAGATTAAAAGATTAGATCCTATCAACATACCTAAAATAAAATAGAGCTCTTATTAATTCCTAAAATCAAATAGTTAAGTAATATTTGAGATTTTTATTTAGAAATTTTGATGAAATAGTAGCAATTTTAAAATAAGATTTCCCACAACATTAATGAAAAATGTATTTACGTTATCATATATATTAATCTAATATGAATTATTATTGTTATTATCTATAAATTTGTTGAATCTTCTTCAAATTACTAAAAATATATGAAGTATATAAAATTCATAAAAACATAGATTAAGAAATTTTCATTAAATTTCCTTAAACAAAAAATGTTGATTTAATAATAATAAGAATTAAATTTTAATCTAAACACACATCATATATAAAAACTAAATAATAGATTTATTTTAGTATAGATATTATAATAAATACCAATTAAAATATCTTATATTTATATATCTCAAATTTGAGTTATAAAATATGAGTACAATATATTTATAAATTTCATACAAATGTCTTCAGTTGATCTAAGAATCCTTGATTAGGTTCAGCTCTGGCATGCTTTTATTTTACATAATTTAAAGCTCTTAACGAATTGAGCCTTAATTTTCTTATAATATAAGCTGTTATGATGGTCACTGATCTACTCTAACCACCATAACAATGAACTAAAATATTTTTATTTTGAGCAATTATTGAATCAATATATTCAATACATTCTTCAAAGTATTACTTTATGTTAGTTTCTGGTTTATCTTCAATCTAAATGCATTTATACGAAAATTTTGAAGGAAAATACTAAGGTAAGTCTCCTATTATTAAAATATTCTAGATTTAGTTCTTGGTAAGCCAATTTTAATCTTTTGCATAAACAATTGATGACAAATATACATGAGGGATTATTTCAGACATTAAAATAAAATAAAATAATAATAATAAATTAATAAGTTAATAAGTTAAATATAGTATTTATATAATATTTCAATAAATATATAAATAATAAGAAGTTATTAAATATATATATGTTAAAATCATTTAATTAATGAGAATCATATATGATAAAATAAATTGTTGGAAATTTTCAATTATAAATAGTCAAAGATATTAATTTCATAAAAGATGGTATATATAATAAAAAATATGAATTTCTATTTTAATGCATTGTAATAAGTTATGAATGAGAAAGTAAAGATTAGTAAGTTTATAAAATAATTATATAATTTATAAATATTAATTAATGCAGACAGCTTCAATATTTAATGGAAAATATGTAGCCTAGAAGAAGATATCATCAGGCTCTTTTGGAGTGGTTTTATTGGGGCATGATAAAGATAAAAATATAGATGTGGCAATAAAAATAGAGAAGGAAGAGAATGAGGATGTGCGTTCTTTGGAAAGGGAAGTTCAAGTTTTAGAAAGGTTAAATGGAATAGAAGGTGTTCCTAAATTATATTGGCATGGTGAGTAGGATGATTTTAATGTTATTGTTATGTAAATTTTGGGAAAGGACTTAGCTCATTATGTGAAAAGCAAAAAGAAATTTTCATTTAAAACAACAATCTAATTAGGAATTTAAATTGTTAAAGTATTAGAGAGAATCCACAATAAAGGTGTTGTTCATCGAGATTTGAAGCCTGAAAATGTTTTGTTTGGAATAGATGATGAATCTTCTAAAATTTATGTAGTTGATTTTGGAATAAGTAAAATATTTAGAGATAAAAATGGAAATATTCAGTAAATGTCAATAATTTAGTTAGTCCATTTCGTGATAATACATCATTCATAGGAACAACTAGATATGCATCTATAGCAGCACATAAAGGTTTTGAGTTGAGTAGAAAAGATGATATTGAATCTCTAATATATGTTTTGTTATACTTTATGAAAGGGTAATGGAATTGTGAATAATAAAAAGTCTAGGCAGTTACCATGGCAAAATATGTAGAATGTCAGTGATGAAGAAAGAACAGTCAAAGTAGGTGAAATGAAGATGTCTATAGATCTTAGGGAATTATGTAAAGATGTACCAATTGAATTTGCTTTTATACTTGAGTACTTAAATTAAATATAAATTTAGGTATCTTAAATAATTACAATATTTAAGTGAACCAAATTATGATTTTGTTGTATAATAATTTGAAAAAGCTGCAGAAAATTTATGTATTTAATTAGATTACTCTTATGATTGGGATTAGTAATAATAACCTATGAAAATATCATAAAGTGTTCATTCAGAAATAATGTAAAGATCAACTACTTTAAATTAATAATTATAACCTCCATCTACTGGTGAAATGAAAAAATCATTAGATAAATAAGGAAGCAATCTGATCAGATAGTATATATCCATATAAATCTGATTAGAATGAGTAATAATCAATTCTTAGCACCTCCTTAATCAAATTAATTACAGCCTCCTACTTTAAAAAGACAAGATTCTTCTTAGTAGCCCAGCTTAGTATCAGGTAGTGTAATGTTAAGTACATACAATTCAATAAGGCCAAAATATTAACCCTCTTAATTGGGTTTAGATGTTAAGGTTAGTATAGATACTGTGCCTAAGGAATATATATAGGAATAGAGGAAAACATCTGAATCGGCATAATAGAAAAAGGCATAAAATTCTTATACTGAAACAGCAGGTTGGAGAGATTCAATTTTTGAAGAAAATTATGATGAAATCCCATTATCTAAGAAATATGGAATGCTTTAATAAAAAGGAGTAGATATGTAGAAATATATTTGTTATTGATAACTAGGTATAGAAAGTAAATGAATTCTAGTGCTAGTCCAAATAGACCTAAGAAAAAGCAATGAATTTTATTTTTATTTTTAGATTATTCTAAAATTTTGATGAGTTTTTTATTCTTTAATTGTTTTTGTTCATATATGAATTTAGATTAGATGATAATAAGATAAGATAAGAGAAATTACAATATATTTATTTTGCTTTGATTAATTAATGATCAATTTTTTTGTTAAATAAATTTGTTAAAATAAATGAATCCAAATACACCTTTCAATGAACGTTTCTTGAAAATTCAAGAGAAATTAAATTCCATTCCTCTACATCATGATACTTCAAAAGCACATAGAATTGATACTGTTAATTCTAGAGTCACAGCAGTAGAGGAAAGAATTCAAGATACAATTACATCTTATAATAGAAAACTAGTAATAGTTTATTAATGATTAAAAGCATTCTTTGAAAGATGAAATAGTAAGAGTACAAAAGTAAATTGAAGAAGAAAATAATGCTTTTGAAACTTAATTTGAATAAAGAGTTCGTGAGATTGCTGCATTTGAAAGTAGAATCACAACTAAATTGGAATAAGAAATTGCTTTAAGAAGAGATGGAAACTTAAAATTATAAGGGTATTTGGATGAGAAAGTAAAATTAAGAATTTATAAGAATTTAGGTTGTCTACTTAAAATCCGATATATAGACAGAGAGTAAAATAAGATAGGAATAAATTGAGAATATTACTACATCATTAGAAAATGATTTACCTAAGTTATATGATATGATTAAAACTGAAGGATAAGATAGAGAAGATAGTGATAATGGAACATTAAGGAGATCTGGAGAAGAGATTAGAAGATTGAATGAAGGTTTAAATAATTAAAAGAAGTTAAGGTATAAATAATAATCTATTTAAGAGAAGAATCTGAGACAGCTATTTTTGAAATGCTTAAGGATTTAGTTTCTAGAGTGAAGAGTGAAATAGAAGAAGAAAAAAAATTAAGAGAAGAATCATAAGAATCACTTTTAGGTTTGTTGGAAGATGCTGCAAATAAAATATATAGAGCAGCAAAAGATTGATAAATTATACAAATCATATTAAAATAAATTTTATTTAATATTATATATATATATATATTCATTTATTTTATTTATGTTTTCTATGATTTTTATTCATAATCTTATTTAATCTAGCAATTTCATTAGCATTATTATGTCTTAGAAAATATTCAAAAATTCTAACTTTCTCAAATCCTTCAAAAATATCCAAATATTATCCTAACTTTTTTCCTGGATCTTCATCTAAAGTTTTATTAGCATATATTTGATCAATAGAGAAATCATTAACTTTTATTTAAGGTCCTACTTATTTTGTTTATTTCTTTTAATCTCCTCTTTCTGCAATTTTCTTATCTGATTCTTAAATACTCTTATTACTAAGAATAGTATTTTGAGGATTTTAGAATCTAAAATTCGGTTACAATTACTAAGGTCCTTAATTGAAACGACTCAAATATTTATTAGATCTTTCTGCTCTCTAAATCTTATTAATTATTTCTAAGATTTTATCTCTCTATAGATTTATAATAATAATATATACTATTTCATCATCTTTTAATGCATCTGTACAAGCTTAAAATGATAATTTCCTCTTTAACTAACATTTAGATTTTTATTAAAGTGCTGAAATGAGTAATGTATTACTTTAAATTTCTTTATTCAATTTTTCAGACTATTAAAGAATTTCATCATTTGCATCATCTATACCACTAGCTCCTATTAAATTATTAATATAAATGATGAATACCATCACCACTATCTGCAATGAGTTATTATTCATCTATTTATTCCTACAATATTTATGTTTTGCACATATACAAATAGATACTGTTTTATATATCTTATGATTCTCTTCTTGTTTGAATTTTTGGTTCTAATTTTCTTGAATATTTAACTCTATCAGAAGGAACATTCCTTCTATAATTTAGTAATACTTTGGATCTATTTGGATAACCACATACCATACTAATATAATATAGAATAATTACGGGCATTCAAGAATAATATGTGTTGATTTATTACAAGCTCTACATGTTACATCTACTAATTCTTATTTGTTCATAAATGAGATTTATTGAACCAATTCACAATATTTATACTAATCATATATTTGATTTAAATTACATAATCATTTTAATGTTAAGATATTATTTCTATAAATTGAGACCTATCAATTTTTAATACATAGGAAAATTAGTTTGATTTACAAGACATTTAATATGCTTATGATTAAAAGAATTCTAAAACACCAAATGCTTATCCTTCATGTTTTATTGTTTCCAATACTTTTATTGTTTATTATTTATTATTTAATTTTATATAAAATGAAAGATCTCCATTTGATAAAATATAAAGATAATTACTAGGGTCATTTTACTATTTAATATTAAATTATTTTACTTAATATATTGTTTATTCAGGTACATATTTTTCTTCTACCATTGCTTTTGATAAAGATATCAAAAATGATTCACTAAAATTATTCACAAGAAAACTATTCTTTGATATTAATTTCATATTTGTATCTATTTTCATTTCTTCTGCTAATTATTTTGGAATCAATTCACTAAATTTATATACTTCTCTATCATTATCTTCCATCTAATCACTCCATACATATTCAAAGTATTTTCTTATTTTCTCAGCTAAATGTTTATTAATCCCTTTAATTCTAATGAATTTTTTAAGGTTATTCATATCAGTTCTTACCTAAAAGCTTTGTCTACTCCATTCAGCATATATTGAATTAATATTACCAATAGAATAACCAAATACTCCTACTGCAGATAAAGCCATTCCAACAGCAAATACTCTTTCTCTTAAATTCTAAGGAGTAATATCACCATATCCAATTGTAGTCATTGTTATGATACTCCAATAAAATGAATGTAAATATTAATTAAACCAGTATTCATTTTCTATATTTTAAGCTTTAATCCAAGATATCTCATTAGGATTTCCTGTAGATCCTACTAAAAACCAAACACAAGCTGAGAAATGAGCTGCTGCTAAAATAGTGTATACTAATTTAACTAAATCAACTATAACAATTTATATTGCTGTCAATTCTAATCTATCAAAAAGTGTTCTAGAAAATTTGGTTATTTAAAACACTTTCAAAATAATTACTAGATCCAAATATTACAAATCAAATCTTAAACTTATAAAATAGGGAATAATTACAAAGATATCAAAGAAGAATGCTATTATATATAATAATAATATTTTTACATGATTATAAATAATTTTTAGCAATTTAATATCGATTTTCAATTACTGCTCCTTTATAATAGTAACATGTATTAAATTTCAATAATATTTCAAGCATAAATGAATATGATGGTAATACATCAAACATAATTTATCTGGCTTAATAAAAAATATCGTTTGATTCTTCATCAAATTTGAATGCAATTTTAGCTGATACATAAAGTACATTAATATTCAAAATTGTAAGTATATATATATTCCACCAAATTGAAGCCAAAGACTCAGGTCTCATTATTAATTTCTAATTTCCACAATAAATCTTTAGTAATTTAGTTCTACGTATTGGAACCAATATTTTTTAATTCAAAAAATGTTTTACTTTTTAAAATCCTGTTGGTTTCTATAATTAGATTTATTCAAACATATATTACTTCATATTTAAAGAAATTTTTTAATAAGTAATATGAAAAGTCAGCTGATACATCACCTATTATTTCAAAAACATTTTTGTTGATTAATTTAAAACTAGTAGCAAAATTTGATTTTGTGATAAAACTAATGAATCTCAGAGTTATCATCAAGATCTCTAACGCTTTTGCTCTCCAAATTTTATTAGTAAATCCAGGATGTTCATTAGAAATTTGACTTTCAATAAATATTGGACTTTCTTCTTTGATATTCATTACAGGTTTATTAGATTGTAAACTATTAGTTCTTATTCTAGGTCCAATATTACAAGTTTAATTAGGTCTATACAATATGAATAACAATAAAAACTTACTTGTTTTTAGAATCAAATAGAAGACTCATAACACTTCTTTGATCATTATTTTTAATTTACTTAAAATTCTATATTTCATATAAGATGGCTTCTTAATCTTAATCACAACTTTTCAAAAGAGATCTAACTGAATGAACCTGATTTTCAGTATCTAATTTTTCTTCTGTTCTAAATAAGCTTGAGCATTACATATATCTGAATTGAGATGATTACTTTTCATAATTATTTATAAAAATTATAGTTTACCAACTAATAATTATTTAATTAAAAATTAGAACATCTATTTTAATTTTGATTAGCTACAAATTTTTAAATAACATATACTAGAATACAGTGTTTGATATAACATTTAATAACTTTATATTGTAATATAATAGAAATTATAATTATCTATTTTAATAATGATGATAAGAATTAATAGTATATATATATAATGTTTATATAATAAATATAATTACAAACTTCATGAGATTAATAAAATTTGAGAATTTTTAATGTGAGTTTAAAAATCTATATTTTTTTATTTAAATATAAATTCTTAATGAAACACAATCAACAACTTCCTAATGCTCACTTACGTAAACATTGGACACGATTTGTAAAGACTTATTACAATTAACCAGCTGCAAAAAGAAGAAGACAATAAAGAAGATAAGCAAATGCATTAAGTAATTATTAGTATATCTATTTTAGGAGCTTCACCAAGACCTATTGAATTACTTAGACCAGTAGTGAGAGGACAAACAATAAAATATAATGGAGTATAAAAATTAGGAAGAGGATTCTCATTAATTGAACTTAAAGAGGCTGGACTCAATGCTTAATTTGCTAGAACAATTGGAATTTCTGTTGATCATAGACGTAGAAACAATAGCTAAGAAGAATTGGCAGTTAATGTTAAAAGAATCAAAGCATACTTATCTAAATTAGTACTCTTTCCAAGAGTAGCAGGTAAACCAAAGAATGGTGTTGTAAAAGATTCAGGTAATGATGTTGTTGCTTAACCTGTAACTTAAAATACTAATCCTGAAGTATAAAATGTGTTGATAATGTTTAGGTTATTACTTTCTAAAGAACACCAAGAAGAGAGAAGGCAACAGTAATTTCTAAAGAGCTCAGAGCTAAGAATGTATATCGTAGAATTAGATAAGAATGGTATAATGCAAAATTCGTTGGAGTCAAAGAAAAAAGAAAGAATGCTAAAGAATAAAAGAAATGAATAATAAATATGTACATTTGGATATATTAAATATTATTAATAAATGAATTTTCTTGAAATAATCAAAAATGGAATCATGACCATAAAGAAAATAGCAGTCAATTAAGAAATAGATAAAATATGTGATCATATTATAAATACTCTTCGATTACAAGATTATCCAAAATATTTAGATAAAGTTATACTTTAAGATGTTCATGTATTAAATTTAATAATTATAGATAGAACATTTATAAAATTAATGCAATTTTCTAAAGAATCTTAAAAAAATTAATGATAATGAATAAGTCTTTAATATTTTATTGAAAAATGAAGAAGAAACATATCGGCTAAATAAATGTGTATAGGAATTATAACAGAACAATTAAAATCTGATGAAATAAATTTACACTTATGAACGAATGTTAAATGTTTTAAATCAAAATTAAGACGATTAGATTTATCACTTAAATAAGATAAAGGTCTGGTAAGTATAATAAACTAATTTAGGAGTAAAGTATGGAAATTGTATAGCTTAAAATGAAATTATAAGAATAAGAAAATGTTCTCTCAAATCCTTCATAATTAAAGAAACAAATTAAATTATTAGAGAGTAAAAAGAAATGATTGCATATTATTAATTTTATTATTAAATGATAATTGAAATTAAAAAAAATGAGGATCTTTTGGTTATTTGTAGAATTTGCGAGAAAAAAGTATCAATAACTTAATGAAAACTTAGTTAGATGCTCATCTCATTACAAATCATCTCACTAATTGCTAATAAATTTATGAAACAAAGATGTTATTATAAGAATTGAATTGTTAAATCCACAAATTAGCAGAATTAGCTCAAAATAGATTTCGTACAATTAATACTAAATATTAAATACATAAAGCAAAACAAACAAGATAAAATCTTTATGAAAATGGAAAGAGACAATCAGTTTCTCTTAATTAACTTTAATTAGATGGCTCTATTAGTGAAGGTACAGGATCAAAAACAAATAAGGCTTCTCATTAAATTACAGGAAAGTCTCATTTTGCACTTATAGGAGCTTAAAATAAAGTTAAAATGCATGCAGAATCTGATTAAATAGTAGAGATGCAAAATAAAGATTAATCAAATTAAAAAGAGTTATTTGAATAGGATTAAGAAATTAATCTAAATTAAATTAATGGAAAAAAATGGGTTAAAAAGCAATACATTCATTCTCCTTAATAAGAAATTCTTTAAGGTAGTTCACCTAGTTCAAATGGTATGGATAGTCCATTCTCATTAGAGTAAGTATTTGTGAAATTATTAAAATTAGCGATAATATTGACATTCTAAAAGACTTAAGACAATAATTAAATTGCCTTACTATTATTATCAAGTATACTGAAGAGACTATTAAAATAAATAGTGGTACATAATCAATTTAATTTGATCTAAAAACATAGGTTAATTTATTGAATATAAAGAATTCTTTAGAAAAAGAACTATAAGACATTGTTAAATTAGCATTAAAGTTGATTGAAGTACATATTAAAGTAATTATTATCTATAGGAAAGAGTTTAATACACTTAAAAAATATCAAGATTATAAAAATTAATATTAGAAGAAGATAAATAAGATAATATTAATTCTCCTTTAGGATATAAATAAAATACAAATACAGAAAATATTAGATCTCCAAATAGAAGTTCACTTATATAAAATTGTGAGAAATTTAAGTGGTTAAATAAATAAAATGTATAATTATTCAATTAAAATAAGAATAATATTATTAAAGATAGTCCTTTTAAAAAAAGTTCAAGTGATTTTGGAGATGAAGAAAACAATTCTTAATCAAATGAAAGTGAAGAAATTAGAAAATTAAATAGGGGTAGTTCAGATGAATCCTTTGAAGTAGATAATTCTTCTTAAAAATCAAAAAATAATATAATATCATTTAAAGCATTAAATTTAGATGATTAAATATAAGAATAATAATTTGATAATGCAGAGGAGAAGGATAAAGGATATTATAGTGATGGTGATATTAAAATAATGAAGATAGCTAAAAATAAATAATTGTAATAATATAAAAATAGAATATTTTAGATTAAATGTAACATTATAAGACTTTGAATTTATATAAGTTTTAGGAGTTGGTGGTTTTGGAGCAGTTTGGTTGGTAAGTAAGAAAAAAACAAAAGATTATTATGCAATGAAAGTTATAGACTGTCGTAATAAAAATATGAGTGAGATATAAAATTTAAGAGCTGAAAAAAATGTTTTTGAAATATTAGAGGGTGACTTTGTAGTCAAAGCTTATTATTCATTTATTTAAGATCAATGTTTATTATTTTTATTAGAATATATGATGGGTGGTGATTTTAGTTAAGTTTTATTTTAATATGGTAGATTATCAGAATAAGTTGCAAAATTCTATTTAGCTGAATTACTTTTGGCAATTGAATCATTACATAAAAAAGGAATAATTCATAGAGATCTTAAACCATAGAATATTTTACTTGATTCTTAAGGTCATATAAAATTAGCTGATTTTGGATTATCAGAGATAGCATTAGTATAAAAAATAAAAGATGGGAAAGATGGAATTAATTTATCAATTGACCCAGATGTATTACCATAGAATGTATCAAAAAGACATATAAAAATTAAATGCAATTTAGAATTTCATATGTAAAAGTATCCAAGCAAAAACAGTATTTAAGAAAAATCATCTTCAGGAAAAAGATAGAATAGAATAATAGGAACTCCAGATTACATTCCACCTGAAGTTATTATTGGATAATCTATATCCAATTTTTCAATAGATTGGTGGTCATTTGGAGTAATAATGTATGAATTTTTGGTTGGAATACCTCCATTCAATGACAAAAGTATTCCTAAAGTATTTGAAAATATAACAATGAGATCTATAGAATGGCCAGAAATAGGAGATGATGAAGATATGATTTCAATTAATGCATACGATCTAATCAACAAATTATTAGAACCAAATTATCATATAAGATTAGGTCATAAGGGAATTGATGAAATTAAGTAACACCCTTTTTTTAAGGACATAGATTGGGTTAATATAAGAAATCTTGAAGCTCCTATGATTCCTATTAGAGATCTGGAACACTTAGAAGAAGAGTAATGTAACATATTGCAAAAATAAAATGAAGAAAACAAAATGAAGGATAGATTATAATCAGTTTAATAATCACATGATGGAAAATTTGATGAAGTTGCTAATCTTACAAGATTTGATCTCTTGGCTAAATTAAGTGAATAGGATGCAGAGAATGTTATCAAAAAATAATCAAATCAAAAAACATCATGAAAAATTCTATTGATCATAATAATTTTCTAATGTATTTATAAACTTATTAGATAAAATAAATAATAATATTATATATGTGATTGAATAAATAAATAAATATATATAAATGTGTTCATTGAAACTTTAAGAAATCAATATAATAAATATTTAATATATTATTTACATTCATAAATATTAAATATATTACATTTAATCATACTATTTAAAAGCTAATAAGGTTGAGTAATATTTTATAATATAATACTCATGATATTATAATATTATGAACTCATAATTAGTAAGATTAATATAATACATAAACTCTTCTTTTTATATTGATTCTTAATATCATAATTTGTATTTAAAAAACCAATAATTTTTGATATATTTATACTTCATAACTCTCTTTGCTACTTCTACTTATATGAAATTAAATAAGAATGAAATTAGTCATTAATGCAGAAATTTAAGAAAATAACACAATTTAATGTATAATGTATAATGTACTCTCTTTTCATCAATCGAATAAGCCACCCATATCGACATCTTCTTCTGGTTCTGGAGCCTTTTCAACTGGCTTTTCTTCAACTTTTTTAGCTGCTTATGCTTATGCAGCAACTGGAGCTGATGCTTATGATGCTAAAATATTGATATCTCTTTATTTTACATCCTCCTCCTAAGGAAAGTGTTCCTACTTTCTTCAATCCTTCTGCTATAACTTCTTGTAATGACTTTCCTTTCAAAGATTCTACTAAAGTCTTAATTTCTGCATCTGATCCTGCAACACCAACTTCAGCCAATAATCCCTTTACATCAGCCTCACCTAAGTATTTAATTAATTATCATACTAGGACTTGCTTTTCCACCTAAAGTCAACAGAGCATATGCAGCAACGTATTACATTGAATTTTATTTAAAAATTTATTTTAAATCCCATAAAAACTAAATAAACTCTAAATTAATATCAGATTCTAAAATGAAATGAATCAACTACAAAATTTATTTAATATATATAATAATATCAATAAATTATCAAAGGATTACTTTACTTATGCTTATTAATTGATATACTTAAATTTAAAGAATTGATTAATAGTCTTTTAATTGTTTTAATGAAATAAAAAATTCAATATATATTTAAATAAGTTCCCTTTTTTATTATGATAAAAAGTAGAAAACTTACATAAGTGATATATCTGCTGACTAGGTTGATTTAATGAAAATGTTTAATAATAACTGGGATGAAAAAAAGAAAAATGATCACTTTTAGATGATTTAAATGCTTTCTTTAACATTTTAATTTAAAGCAAAGCAATATATTGAATTCATATTATATACATAAGATTATAATGAAATGTAATTAAATAAGTAATAAATTATAATATATAAATTATCAAATTTATAATTTTTCTATTGAAATAGCAATAGTTTTTTCAGAAAATAATAATAACAATTATTTATATTGTGAAATTTAATCATAAGATCATTTTAGAAATTAGTTTAATGAGATATTTCAAATAGAATTTGAATGTAATAAATTCATTACTTTATATTAGTGAATTTATAGATTAATATTATTTGTTGAAGACTTCAAGAATTTGGATAGAATTTTTTCTAAAATTATACAAATGAAAAATATGGTTGGATATAGATCAAAAGATAAAGCAAAAAGTAACAAATAATTTTATTTCGATAGTATAGTATTTCAATAAAAATGAATAGACCTTCCTTTATAAATCAAAAAACTTTTTTATTTAGAATGCCAGTTGAATTTATTATATGTAAAGAAAAATGTAAGTATTTTTGTCAGGTTTTTTAAATCTTTGTTAACAAACTAAATTATTTGATCAAAATTTTATCTTTAATATGAACCAGTATTTCAATTTTATAAAGATGAAATGTAATTCTATTTATTTGAATTCTAATTTAATTTAGATGCTTTAGAATAAAAATTGATTGAGGAATGTATTTAATGGGAACATTTAACTCAATTCTATTTGATAAAGGATGAGGATTTAGATTAATTAGATAAATTAACAATAATTATATAATTAATGGGAATTTAACATACTTGTTGTATGAGAGATTAGTCAAACAGAGAATAAAATTCTGATTCTGAAGTGCAGGTGATCTAGGATAAATAGAATTATAATATAAAACATCAGTTTTCAATAGAAAACTAGACTTTAAAGACAACATAGAAAGGAACAATTTAAATAAGTGAAATAGATAACTCGATTGAAATGTTGGAGGAGAATTAATCAAGTAATTTGGAAAACAACCCAGTACCAGCATTTGTCTAAAATAAATAATTTCATTAATTTATGGTTCCGAGAAGAGAAAATCGATTTATGTAAGACATTGAGTGTGAAGTCAGAGCAAAAATTAAGCAAATGTAATTATTTCTACAACTTTAGATATATGTAGGAAAAATTCGAAGCTTTATAATCACATTATTCTGAATTAAATCATTAATAAAATCAAACAAAATCTAATGAGTGTTCCTCAAAAGTTCCTCATTATAATGAATCTAATAGTAACTTGAATGTTCACTTAAATTCATATCTAGGGATTGAAAAATTGTAGAGCACATAATTAGAATGTATCACTGTACCACATAAGGAGATGAGAGGAATATTAAAAAATGATTCATAATAAAAATATTCGTAATCGGCAGATGCAAAAACAGAGAAAGAAATAAGTAAGAAAAAAAGGGTTCACTTTTCTTAAGATACAAAATTTAAGACTGAAGATGCAACAAAATTGTTTAAATGGAGAAACTTAAGTAATATATGAGTTATTAATTTTATTCTCACCCATATAATCATTTTTTGTATCAAAATAAAACTTAACTAACATTTATATATGTTAATTAAGTAGATTAAACATATAAAAAGTAATGAATATCAATCTCTTTCTATATGTTTCTAGAATTTAATATATATTTTATAAGAGATTAAAATTTATAATGATGGATCTTGTTTAAGAAATCAAGTTTTATTAAGCGATTCAAAAAGTTTGGTAAATCGATTAAATGATTGTAATTGATTATAAAGAGATTATAGTTTTTTAGAATAATATGATTTTTCTATTTAAATAAGAATTTATCAGTAATGTAGAAAGAAATGATTAATAATGATTTAAGTGATTTCTAGAAATAAATATCTTTAAAAAAATATTTTAAATGTAATAACAGGATACTAAGTTTGACGAAAATTTATATTCAAGATAGGTGGCTGTATTGGGAGCCGAGACTTAATCCAAATTGATCTAAATGAAGTGTTTCATTCATGGTTTAAGAGGGGTATATAGATTTATTATTGAAAGTTGGGATTAGAGATAGCAAAGAACTTAATATTAGCTGGACCAAAATCTGTAACCATATATGATCCAACAGTGTTATCTATAGCAGATTTGGGTTCAAATTTTTATGCCACACTTGAACAAGTAGGAAAAGTCACAAGATAAGATGCAGCAATCAAATAATTGAAAGAATTAAACCCATATGTTAGTGTAGAAATATATAATGGGTAATTGAATGGTGCCAGTTTGAGTGAATTTTCAGTTGTGGTTCTGACTGATGTTTGGGATTAGAAATTTATAACAGAAGTAAATGAAGCAGTCAGATCAAAAGGACATGGATTCATTTTGGCTCATTCTTCAGGATTATTTGGATCTACATTCGTTGATTTTTCAGATGTAATAATATTTGATTATATCCATAATAGAAATTTTAAATTTTTGATCCTAATGGTGAAGAACCTAAATAGGCAATTGTAGCTGGAATAACAAATGAATTAGAAGGAATAGTAAGTACAATTGAAGATAAGAGACATGGATTTTAAGATGGAGATAGTGTTACATTTAGAGAAGTAGTTGGAATGACAGAAGTTAATGAGAAGATATTTAAGATAAAGGTATATAATATATATATAAATATCAAAGGTGAAATCACCATATATGTTTAGTATTGGAGATACAACAAAGTTTTCATAATATTTAAGAGAAGGAATTGCAGTGTAAGTAAAAGTTCCTGAAGATATTGCATTCAAATCATTTAATGCTTCATTAAGTCATCCTTTTGCACCAGGAAAGAATGAATTAGATTTAATGGATTGGGAAAAGATTGGAAGACCAGAATAATTACATATTTCATATAATGCATTATTATAATTTAGATAATAAAATGGTAGATTACCAGGATTATTGAATTAAGATGATGCTTAAAAAGTATGGGAATTAGCATAATAAATAAATAATTCAGATAGAGGAGAAGGTGCATTAAAAACAGAATTAGATGAATAATTGGTTAAAAACACATCATTATATTTCTAAGCATAAATAACTCCATTAACTTCATTTTGGGGAGGTATTATAGCCTAAGAAGTAGTCAAATATACAGGTAAATTCACACCAATTAGATAATGGTTACATAGTGAATTCTTTGAAGCTTTACCTGAAACAGAAGTTAATAGAACATTATTAAATAGTTAATATGATGATTATGTTGCAATCTTTGGAAGAGAAGCATTATAATAATTATAAAATTCAAAGATATTTATGGTAGGTGCAGGTGCATTAGGATGTGAATATATAAAAATGTTTGCACTTATGGGATGTGGAAGTGGTGCTTCAGGTTAAGTTCATGTTACTGATGATGATAATATTGAAGTTTCAAATTTGAATAGATAATTCTTATTTAGAAAAAATAATGTTGGTTCTAATAAAGCAGCTACTGCATGTAAAGTAGGTGAATTAATGAATAAGACTTCCAAATTTAAATCATATGCTTTAAGAGTAGGTAAATAAAATGAACCAATCTTTAATGATTAATTTTGGGATGGATTAGATATAGCTGTTAATGCTGTTGATAATGTTCATGCAAGAAAATATATTGATTCATAATGTTGTTATTATGGTAAACCATTATTTGAAAGTGGAACACTTGGTACTAAATGTAATTCCTAATTGATTCTTCCAAATCAAACTTAATCATATAGTGAATCATAAGATCCACCTGAAGATACTATTCCTTTATGTACATTGAAAAATTTCCCTTATTAAATTGAACATACAATTTAATGGGCTAGAGATTACTTTGCAGGATTCTTTGAAGATGGTTCTTAAGATTGTATCAAATATCTCGAGAATCCAGCAAATTATCTTAAAAGAATTTTGTCTGAACTTAAATCTCAACCAGGTGTGTTAAGACCAAAATTAGAATCAGTTAAGAAATTTGCTGAAGTTGCTAAAAAACCATCATTAAATTCTATTGTTGTTTTAGCTAAAAATATGTTCTAAGATATTTTCTGTAATTAAATTAAATAATTACTTTATTGTTTCCCACCTGAACATAGAACTTCAGAAGGATAATTATTTTGGACTAATCCTAAAAGACCACCTACTCCAATTGAATTTGATCAAAATGATCCTCTTCATTAATTATTCATTCATAGTGCTGTTAATATTTTCTCATAGATATTTGGTTTACCCAAATAAGATAAATTTGATGAAATTGCAAAACTCTTACCATCTATCAAACTCTAATAATATGTTCCAAAATAAATGCAAATAAAAGAAAATGAGAAAGATTAAAAAGAAGAAAAATCTGAAGATGATGAAACATAAATTTAAGCCTTATCTCAAGAATTAGAAAAGTTGACTCTTGAAAATAAAGAAGTTACTAAATAATTACAAGAATGTGCATTTGAAAAAGATGATCCAACTAATTGGCATATTGAATTTTTATCTGCAGTCTCCAACTTAAGAGCAAGAAATTATAAAATTCCAGAAGTACCACCATTTTAAGTTAAATTAATTGCAGGTAAGATTATTCCTGCATTGGCTACAACAACAGCAATGATTGTAGGAGCAGTGGGATTAGAAATCTTTAAATTTATTCTTAAGAAAAATGTTGCCAAAATGAGAAATGCTTTCATAAATTTGGCTTTACCACTTTTCCTATTTTCAGAACCTTTACCACCTGGAGAACATGTAGATTAAGAATACAATGTTGTCTTATTGGGACCAACAAAAGCCATACCATCAAGTAATTATTTAAATAAATTAATTTTTAGAATGGACAGCTTGGGATAGAATTAAAATTACTTAATAGATGACTCTTGGATAATTCTTATAGTATTTCAAAGAAAAACATGATGTAAATGTTTCATCTATTACTGTTGATTAATATTTGATCTATTCCAATTATCCAGCTCCATCATAAGAAACGTAAATTTATTTATTTATTTATTTTAGTTTGAATAGAGATTTAGGTAGTTTATATGCTGAAAAAACATTCTAACCACTTCCTGCTCACAGAATTTATCTAGATCTTACAGTAGGTGGAGAATTAGTAATCAATGGAACAGAAGTTAATGCTGATTTTGCCCCTGTTAAATATCAATATAAAAAATGAGTTATTCAATAAATAATAAAATTAATATTTAACAGACATTTATGAAAAATACATCAGCTAGTAAACAAGCAAACAAAACCAATGTACTTAGAAAGTCTGCTGAAAACTTACCTCCATTTGCACCTTCAACTGAAAAAGATAAAGAAACTTCTAAATTAGCTCATCTTGAAAGTAAAATTATAGAATATTAGTAGTTAACTTAAATAGAGTATGTTTATAACAAGATGCTTTGATGCCATTATTATAAATGATTGAATATATTCCAGCCATCTAAAGAACTGACAGTGTAGTTAAAGGTTTAATGAGAAAGATTGAAGAAAATGAATAAAAGATTCTGAAATCAGAAAAACTACTTGAATCTAAAATTAAAAATCCAGATGGAAATCAAGATAAGGACACCAAAAAATAATAAAAGTAACTTTAAGAACTTTAAGGCAAAGTCAAAGATATGGAATAATAAATGAATAATTTATAGAGGTATTATAATTATATTTAATATTTATTAGATGGTATGAAGCCAAATTAAAAGAAGAAAATCAAGCATTACAAAGAAATCTTGAACATAAAATTGAGAAATCTAAAACTGAAACTTAAAAATCTGTTGGATCAGAAAAAAGAGTCAATACTGAATAATCAAAAACTCATAGTAAATAAGTATCTTAAGTTTAACCTCAATAACCATAAGAATCTTAATAATAATATTAATATAATGTACTATAAGCTGTAGAATAAATGGTTACAGTATCTTTGAATCAAGTTAGAAATTAAATATAATAAGAAATAGATGAGTTAAGAGAGCAAGTTTTAGCTTCAAAATAATGATACTTATTATCAGATATATATATAGATATTTATATCATTATGGCTCTTATTTTATTATTCCTGATCCTTCACCAGGCTTCTTTACATTATGTTATTATCCTTAATAAAGTCCCATCAATGGATTAAAATTAGGAAAATTACCTAATCCCATTTGTTATTGCAATTGCTGGAGATATTATTATTATTATAATTAATTCAATCCCATTCCTGCTCCTAATTATTAAGTTAAACCAGCTTATAATCCTAATTAAGAACTTAATTATTAAGCTAACAATTATTATTATAATTATTAAAAGTTTTAATTTTATCCCATTAATGATTAAGGATTCATTTATCCTTAAGGTAATCCCATTCCACCCATACTTTACATGTAATTCAATAATTATGATTACATTGGATTACCCATCATACCTGCTTAAGGAGGATAGGATTATTAATTTAGTTATTATTATTACTATTACAATAGTAGTTATTAGTAGAGTTGATTATATTACATGAATTACTACAAGGCATTCTAATCGATAGGTTATTAAAATTAATAAGGGAATGCAGGATT